GCTTCTCAGCAGAAGTTGTCATAGTTGGGTAAACTTATAGAGCAGTGAATGGTTAGAGTGCCACAAATACATTCTGTGCATTTCTATTTGCTCAAATAATAAAAGAAAAAAAATGGTGAAACTGGTAATTAGGGCTGCACGACTAATCTAAAAAGATCACAATTTCGATTCAACCCTACATACTGCCTTAATTAAGCTTTTCTATGATCCAGCCAATTATATTTACGAGGTTAGGAGAGAAGTGTAAAGGCGGTCGCACAAGTCTTCACATTTTATGTTCATTGCTCATGCACACTTGGTGTTGAAAGTGTTACATACTGTATTTATAAGGCATCATTTAAATGATCATATCGCATTTTAGAGTTATGATTACAGCAAGCATTTGATAGTTTTTTTCTTTCATAGCTAACACAAAGTGTTAGTGTAACTACTCTAGCTTATAATGTTGAATATAATGCAAGAAGGAATCTGATCAGTGGGTAGCACGATCGACTCACAGCAAGTAGATCGCTGGTTGGAGCCTTGGCTGAGTCAGTTGGTTTTTCTGTGTGGAGTTTGCATGTTCTCCCTGTGTTCACATGGGTTTCCTCTGGGTGCTCCGGTGTCCCCCACAGTCTAAAGACATGTGGTATAGGTGAATTGGGAAGGCTAAATTTACCATAGTGTATGTGTGTGTGAGTGTGTATGGATGTTTCCCAGTGATGGGTTGCAGCTGGAAGACATCCGCTGCGTGAAACATTTGCTGGATAAGTTGCCAGTTCATTTCGCTGTTGTGACCCCAGATTAATAAAGGGATTAAGCCGAAAAGAAAATGAATGAATTAAAAAAATCTAGGGCGTCACAGTGGTGCAGTGGGTAGCACAGTTGCCTCACAGCAAGAAGGTTGTTGATTTGAGCCCCGGCTGAGTCATTTGGCAGTTCTGTGTGGAGTTTGCATGTTCTTCTCGCGTTCATGTGGGTTTCCTCCGGGTGGTCCGGTTTCCCCCACAAGTCCAAAGCTAAATTGGCTGTAGTGTGTGAATGTAAGAGTGTATGGATGTTTTCCAGTGATGGGTTGCAGCTGGAACGGCATCCGCTGTGGTGACCCCTTATTTAAAAACGGGACTAAGCCAAAAAAAAAAAGAATAAATGTATGAAAGAAACAATCTAAACATTAAAACTTATAAGGATTTAAGATACTGATTACAAGGGGTGTGACTAGTCATCAACTCCAAGGCTGATTCAGAGTCAGAGCCTAGTTACAAATTGGTTCTTGTGCTTTTAACACCCAAGTGAATTAATTATTAAGGAGTAAAAAGTCTGGTTTTGTCTCATGGGATATGCATCTTGCAACATCACTACTGATGACCAATGAATGTGTCATCATCCTCTGGTGAAAAGGGTCCACTCTACATATAGACCTTTTAAAGATTGTTCACCGCAGCAAAAGGGCCTAATGAAACCATACATGGATACTGTAGTGAGCTTTATAAAGAAATAATGTAATGTTAATAAATAAGCCAAGCATGTTACATTTGCGCTCACAATGCAATTTCAGTCAAGTCCACCTGTGTTCAAGATTTTGGAGAATAACAAGAGTGATGTGAAATAGAAAGCGAATGTGAGAGTTCCGAAGTCAGCGAGAGTAGAGACAGTGGTGGTCAGGGGAGAGATTGTCGCTGCCTGTTCGTTTGACTGCTCTAAATGCTCTTGGTCCTGATAAGCAGCTTTACTCTTCCTCCCCTGTCTCTCATCACCCTTCCCCCATCATCCCATCCCTCTCTCTCTCTCTCTCTCTCTCTCTCTCTGCCTCACTCACTCTCTTTCTCTCTCTCTCTCTCCATCTTTGTTCTGATGCTTAAAGCCACATCCTGTATTCCAGGTGCAAAGGATGGGGCATGTATTTAATGAGTGTGTGTGTGTTTGCTGTCAGTCTCTCTTTTCTTTCCCTCTGTCATATTGTTTGTTTTATTTTACTGTCCATCATCTTGGTTTCAGTTGTCTTCATTTATTCCTCAAAGGGACTGAAGGTCTAATTAGTAGAGCTGTCAATCGATTGGGATTTGTAATTGAAATAATTGCCTGAGTTGTAATTAATTAATTGATTTAACTGTATGCAACAGTATATGCTGAGAAAAGCCCTTAAATGAGAATAATTCAAAGATGGTACACTATTGTGGCAGATGAGAAAAGTATGAATCGATGGAAAGTGACTTTAAGAGTCAAAACATAATTTGTTTCCAACTCATTGACCTAAATTCATTCGCTGGCCTACAGGCAAAAATCCAAAAACAAAAAATATTAATATTATTGTGATCATTATTATTATTATCATCATCATCATTATTATTATGATTATTATGATTATTATTATTTTTTATTATTATTATTATTATTATTATTATTGTGTTTGTTCACTGACCTACCTGAAAAATACATATAAACACATGTATGTGTGTGTGTGTGTATATAAATATATATATATTTTTTTTTTTGTAGAATAAAATATTGTTGTTGTTGTTGTTGTTGTTGTTGTTGTTTTGTTCACTAACCCAACGCAATTCAAACATACATATAAGCAGAGAGATGATTGGAAAAAATGTAAAATTCATTAAGCATTAATTGTTAATTTTCACATTAATTAAATTAGCAGGGCTGGAAATTTAGAATATGAATGGAGTACAAAAATATTTTTGATTGTTATTCACCTTCTTCTTCGCTGACAAGCGGATGCAGCCATTTAAATCTTTTTGGCTTGATACTTCCGGTCTCATTCAATTCCATTCATTTTTAGACACTAAAAACTTCTTGTTTCGCTGTTTGATGTTGCAAACTGATATTTTCGTATATTATGCTACTTGGTCTGTATAGTCATGCAAACATTTGTTTGTAGAGCAAGTAGTTTGACCGTTTTCTGATGTTTATTATTCCTAGTCATTTCTTCCATAGGCAACTGAATCGGAAGTTCCAAAACAATCAGGCACAGTTCCGCATTTTAGAATAAGGTCAATAGGGTAAAAATAATAATAATAATAATAATAATAATAATAACAATAATAATATTTAATTCTATAAAAAATATATACATTTATGTTAATATATTTTTTTATTTTATAGAAATTATTACTATTATTATTATTATTTTAATTATTATTATCCTATAACAATAAAAAATATTTTTGTACGCCATTCTAAATTTCATATTTATTATACTAATAACCTTCCCAGCCCTACTAATTTAATTAAAATGTTAATTAATAATGTAATGCTTAACGAATAAATTTTTTTTTTTGCCATCATCTCTCTGCTTGTTCAAAGTAGGGAATATTCAGCTGGAGAGCTTTAGATATAGTTCATGATGAACATTCTGTTCCTGTCAGTGTGCAAAAGCCTCCTGCACACTTCAGACAGAGACATACGGTCCCGCAAATGGAAGTTTATGCTGAATGCCACTTTACATCAAATCAAGTACAGCAGTGTGTGCGAGTGCGGTTGCTATTGTCCATATGGTATTGTCCTTCTACCTCGGTCACGGTCTTACGCAGATGGTGTGTGGATGTTTTGCCGATAGTTGGCTGTTTCTCTCTGTTATGTTTGTTTATATGGAGACTGTATGTGTGTGCACTGGCTGTTGTCATACGCCAGCAGCGGTAAAACAGCGGGAGGAGGGACCTAAAAAAAAAAAGAGGATGACAGATTAGTAATCCTTTGAAATGCTTACAGATTCCCCATTTTGAAGTCCAGTTCCAGCTCAAGTCTGACCTTCTTTGTTGTGAACAGGTCACGGGGTCATTCCAGTTAACACCCCTACACATGTACAACTAAATATAGAGCCTTAGTTGTTTTTTGCTGAAATATCATTAGCATTTCTATTGCGTCTGCTGTAAAATATGGATTTTAAATGATTTTTTATTGTTAATGTTTCTTGGTTTGTGACTGTATTATTACTGTTCATACTTTAGATTATTGTTTAGTTCATTTAACATATTTAGTTTTTTTGTGATTTTGGCTTTAATTTAAACAGAATAACATTTGCCAAAAAAAATAAATAATTGTAAAACAAACCTGTTTCACACTTGTAAAATAGCACAAATTTTGCTTGCACTCAGGACCTTTAGGACAAATAAATTCCAATACTGACACTATGAACTCATTAAAATGGGAAAATTTTTATCACAGATTAATTTAAAGGTGCCATGTACTGCATTGGTTCAATAAGTAAAATTGTTTTCTGATATCTGCAAGGTAGGTATATGCTTACAGTAGGTAAGTAAAAGAAAACCTTCAGAATCGTTTTTATATGCTTATTTATTACTCCATGAAATACCCCTACAATCAGAAGTTCCATAATTGACCATATTTGGATTGGTCGTGAATATTAATGAGCTCTGCTCTAACGTGCACTTCTGACAGACACACACACACATTTATAATTTGTAAATACTGCATTTTGCGTCTTGACATGAGTTTGAACATGTCTTGTGCAATCTCATTACTCAGTGACGCAAAGTAAACGGTCTGTGGCTCTCGTTTAAAAATTTAAGTCCCACTTTGTGTCACTAAAAACGTTGTTGCTTATCAAATGCAGCCCAAGGTGTGCATATTAATGATCCCAGAGCAACATTTCAATCTGTGTTCTTCTGATGACGTTGCTGCTTGTTAGGACCGGATGAATGACCTAAAGTACATGCAGATGATGAGGGCATGCCATGTGAGTCACGCAACAGTCTGCTTTGTGTTCTGATTGGCCTCTTTTCTGAGTTTCACACTCATTGGATTTATATGTAAAAGAGGAAACAACCGTCTCTGGTGCTCAAGGCTGAACTCCAGTAACTATTAACTTTCAAAGTAGTAAAAACAAACACTGCGGGTCAAAGACTGCTGCTTTCCAGCTTTCTTCAAAATAAGGAAGCTGGTGATTAAATGATCACAGTATATTCAGAGTATTCAGTATTGCGTGAACAATCCCTTTATCCTTTCATGTTTTTGACCATTTTTCTTGTTCTTGTTTATCTTTTCAGGAACAAGTTGAATATGTTTTTCTGATTATCTTCACTATTGAAACATTTCTGAAGATCCTGGCGTACGGCCTCGTCATGCATCCCAGCTCATACATCCGCAACGGCTGGAATTTACTAGATTTCGTCATCGTCATTGTAGGGTAAGACACCATCATCATCACCCATCCCATGTTATTTGTCTACCATCATTTTAAACTGACTCATAATAACCCAAAATCACATCACAGCCTCGTCACCTATGATTCACTTGCATTTAAATGTCCATAGTTAATTTTTATTCAGGTTGTTCAATAGCCAACATCATTGCTCTTATTCAAAATTCTGCTGTTGTCCTGCTGTTCTCTTTACCCGGTTCATTTTCCCTATTTCGCTCGTGGATTATCTGGTCAGATCTGGCTGTCAATCCTCTCTCCAGCTCGATCGCTTGCTCTGCGTGCCTTAATCTGACCTACAGAGACTAGCTGCTATCCTTGATTTCACACACCAGAATGTGTGCGTATGTGGGAAGTGTAAATATGCATTTGATCCTCTAAAAAAAAGTCAATCCTTCATCAGTGTGGTGCCAGTTTTAAACTCATTTTCTTCCACCAATGAGTGTATTTAAAGAGTGAATGTCCCCAGAGCACTGCCTGTTCTGTCGAAATGGGACTAAACAGCTGTTCTGGGGTCACTAATGGCCAGTTGGTCAAAGTGATGGTTAATTATCTGAAGGAAGATGGCTGTTTTTGGCATTTAGCATCCTTTTTGAGTATAATTTTGAGAGCTGTTTTTAGTATTGATTAGAAATTTCGTGAAGCTCACACACAGACATACTGGATATGTTCCCAACAGACAGCATTGCGCATCATATTCCTGATGCTTCTAATACTGAGTCCATCCTAAGAGTATTTGTGTGTGCATGTGTGTGCATGAAATCACAAAAGATATCTGGGATGAGTGCCATGAATATTAGGCCCGGTCAGTTTCCAAAACGCTTCACGCTATTTGTTTGGCAATTGAAATATGCTAGTCACACGGGATAATTTGGAATCACTGTAAAGAACTGGTTTGTTTGAGTCATTTTGAATGGCAGTCAGATCAATTATGCCACACAACAGAACATGCTCATAAATTAGTCATAAATTAATTTTTAGTATCCCTAAAAAGAACTGGCTCATAAAAGTTATTTGTTTGCGAATTGGACTACACTCGTCTTACTCTGTTTATTTGATTCACTAAAAAAAAAAAAAAAAAACTCATGAGAGGCAGTGATTCAAAAATCAAACTACTGTTAAACTATGTTTTAGCAAAGATTCAGCTCATAAGAGTCATTTGTACAACAGTACTACACTACTTTTTGTTTTGTGTTTTGTTTTGTTTTGTTTTTTGTTCTGTTTTGTTTTTTGTTTTGATTTTTGTTTTTTATTTTGATTTTGTTTTGTTCTGTTCTGTTCTGTTCTGTTTTGTTTTTTGTCTTGTCTTGTTTTGTTTAGACTACACTGTTTTGTTCTGTCTTTGCTTTGCTTTGCTTTGCTTTGTTTTGCTTTGTTACGTTTCGTGTTTTGTTTTTTGTTTTTTTGTTTTGTTTCATTTGTTTTGTTTTTTGTTCTGTTTTTTGTTTTTTTTAATTTTGTTTTTGTTCTGTTCTGTTTTGTTTTTGTCTTGTCTTGTTTTATTTAGACTCCACTGTTTTGTTTTGTTTTGTTTTGTTTTGTTTTGTTTTGTTTTGTTTTGTTTTGTTTTGTTTTGTTTTGTTTTGTTTTGTTTTGTTTTGTTTTGTTTTGTTTTGTTTTGTTTTGTTTTGCTTTGCTTTGCTTTGCTTTGTTTTGTTACGTTTCGTGTTTTGTTTTGTTTTGTTTTTTGTTTTTTGTTTTGATTCATTTGTTTTGCTTTTTTAATTTTGTTTTTGTTCTGTTCTGTTCTGTTCTGTTTTTTTGTCTTGTTTTGTTTTGTTTGCACTACACTGTATTGTTTTGTTTAATGTTCTGTTCTGTTCTGTGCTGTTCTGTTACAGTATGTGCTGTTCTGTTTTGTTTTGTTTAGACTACACTGTTTTGTTTTATTTAGTTTTTTGTTTTGTTTTGTTTTATTTTGTTCAAATAAATAAATGGCTAAAAACAGTCATTCCTTTGCAAATCAAACTTTATTGACCATACCATAAGTTTTCGAGTCAGGTCGGACTACATGATTGATGCAGTATTTATTTATTTACACAAAGATCCTTCTTGATTCATTTGGGAATCATCCAGTTGTCTGTTTTTGATTCATTTAAAAGAACAGGCAAATAAGAGTAATTCACAGAAGAATGACAAATGCTTTTGATTATCTTACAAGAACTAATTTCTTGAATGGCAATTATTTAGGAATCAAACTACAAAACAGATACAGTTTGCATATTGTCAGATTCAGCACTAAAATAGACAAAAAAACACACAGTTACAATATCAGTACCAGTTAGCCTATTTCCAATCACAGACGTTTATTTTGTGTAAAAGGAGCAAAACAAAGATGCATTTACATAAGTAACAGTAAAAAGATGGATGGAAATCCACATGCGATGGCTGACATTTTCTGCTCAAAAGTACTGTTAATTACTGTTTTTTTTTTTTTTTTTTTTTTGCCTTAGTAAAATAAATATGGTAAAATAATGTTGAATTTTGTCTACATCATTTCATCAACTGTAAAAAAACAGCAACATACTGCTTTTAAATACAGCAGGTTTATACTGTTAAAATTTTGACGTAAATAACAGCTATTTTCAATAGTACACACTACTCACGCTAGATGTTTTTGACTCCCTAAAAATAACAGGCTCCATAGAGTAATTTGTTCAGACTGCACTAGCCATGCTGTTGTATTGCAAATTGCAAATGTTGCACATGCAAACTGTATTTGATTCATATAAAAAAAAAATTAAAAACTACTTGTAAGATTAATATATTTATGAATCTGACTTCAATGGTTTTGCTATTTGTGTTTGATTCATAAATAAAACCGGTAAGAACCATTGGTTCATGAATCTGACTTCATATGCTATTTGGGTTTGCTACACTAAAGTGCAACTTTTAAGAGTTATTTGTTCATGAGTCAGACTACTACATTGGTTATGCTGTTTGTGTATAATTTCACACAAAAATCAACATGTAAGAGTCCTTTGTTCATGAATCTGACTTCACAGGGTATGTTATTTGTGTTTGATTCAATAAAAAATCTTGTAAGAGTCATTTATTAATTCATCTCAATTCCCCTGTTATGTTTATTGTGTTTGATTTACACCAAAATGACCCTGAATCATGAATCTAGACTAGACTGGTTGTGCTAATTCTACATTATTCACAAAAAAACTAATAAGAGTAAATTGTTTATTAATCTGACTTCACTAGTTAAGTTTTTTGGGTTTGAGTCGCTAAAAATAAAAGTAAGAATCAATTTTAGCAATCAGACTAAACTAATTTGTGTTTTGCAGGTTGTTCAGTGTGGTATTAGAAACTGTTACTCACAAATCCGGTGAAACGACTTCCCACACGCCAGGGAAACCTGGAGGTCTGGATGTCAAAGCCCTCAGAGCCTTCAGAGTTTTACGACCCCTCCGACTGGTTTCAGGAGTGCCCAGTAAGTTTGTGTTTCTAATAAAAATAAAAATAAAACATTTGAGAAATATGCTCTGGTTTAATCTGCTGAAGATTGCAATTCAACAATGCTGTTTCATCTTGTAGATGTATAATAAGAGAGAGAAAACCATAATGGGGATTTTGTATAGAGTAATGAGATTGTGTGTAATCAGTGTTGAATTATAATATTATTTCAATAGATGTGGTATATTCTGAACATCATTGAGCATCTTTTGACACATTTGCAGTAGTTTTACACTGTTTTTACATTAGAGTAACAAGGCTTTGAATCCCTGACTGGTTAACTATATGGCCATTGATTGCATGTGGCTTTACAATAGTACTATGTTAGCTTCACACGGTGCTGTCCGTGGTGCTGAAAACACAATTCTATTAACTACTGTACAACAGAGCTCAGTACAAAAACTGGTAAAAGGTGGTGAAGGTGCTGTGTATCTTGTAAATGTTGTGTGTCTTGTAATATAGGGTAACCATTGACTTTATCGCAGTACTTTTTGAAGCTTTGGTGAGGCTCTTTTCTGCCCGTCGGCTTGTATGATGGTATCTAGCCCTCATGTGCTTGCCTGGACGTTAATCCTTCCTGTTTTCCCAGTGAGACGAGATGACATTGAACGAGGACACGTTACATTTACTGGAAAACACACACAAAAATTCCTTACTCTTTGCCAATGCTCTGTTCAGTTATGTGGCTGATGTTGTATTTATTACAGTAAATCGATTGTGGTGTCAGTTAAGCAATTAGTCAGTCTGTTATGTGAAGGGGGACACGGAAGTGCAGTTTCAAACGCAGGCTTATTAAACAGAGATGGTCAGGCAAGCAATGGTTAACACAGAAGCAAACTGATGTATTCAGGCAATCTAGAGTCATGGTCAGTAAACAGACGGATGGTCAAAAGGCAGGCAGCAGACAACATAAACAAACAAACAAGGCGAGTGTCAAAAACACAGCAAAGCAAGGCAAGGAAAACGCATCGTAATGTTTATAAAACTGTTTAACAAGACTTAGCACTGATGTGTGTGTGTGTGTGTGTGTGTGTGTGTTTGCATGTGCTGTTTGAATAGTTCTGTAATCAGTCCATGAGCAGCTTCAGCTGCGAGTGTTTGCAATCAGACAGTATTAGGAACCGGTGTGTGTGTGCAGTGCATGACTGGATCTTGCAGTCCATAAAATGGGGGATTTATTGTTCTATGCGATCTGTGCATTCACTAGTGGCTGGAAGCCGCTTGATTGCTGGTGATCATAACACAGTGAGTCTCATTTAAGCGAAATGCTTACAAAATTACAAAAGTATTTTGTTAGTCGCTTTGGATAAAAGCGTCTGCTTAATGATTAAATGTAAATGTAAAATTGATGACAATTGATGAATTTGTGTTTTCTGATTGTGTCATTGATTAAAAAAAGACAAAAGATTATTCAATTTATATAGTTTTTTACTAAAAGCTAAAATTATACCACTGTTCTTTTTGTAAAACAATATATATTTATTTTTCAAAAGTGACAATGAAAATATATTGCAGCATTTTGTTTATATGAACTCTCACTTCATCAAAGAATTTCACAAATGCACAAATAAAATGGAATGCATTTTTACATCATTTTTGATGTACAGAAAGGTCAAATTAACTGCATTTATTTGAAATTGAAACCAGTCTGGTTGAATTAGTTTAATGCATTCTTGCTTATTAAATGTATTAGTTGCGTCTTTAAAAATGTTTTAACCCTGACATACTGTACTTATTCTGATCCCAATGACCTGGAAAAAGCTTAACTATCAATTACTTTGAATTGTTTCCAAATGATTACTTTTTTAAACATCTCGATTTACTTTGATTATGTATTTTTGCAATCATAAAAGTATTAATTTAAATAGTTTATTTAAATTTGGAAATGGAAAGATGCAAATATCTTACCGCCTTGCAATTATAAGGTTCTATCTGCGTTCTTAATGATTTTGAGATATTGAGCTTCAAAGTTTTTGCATTCCATATAGCAAACAGTATGTGTTTTTTTTAAATAAAAAGTATAAAAATGTAAACAACTTGTAAAAAACATCCCATAATGCAAATAGGTTGTCATTTAATAAGAATATGTCAATAACTCAATTTTGACAAAAATGTCAGATAGAACCTTATAATTCTAAGGTGACAATCTATCTACTCTACCTGAAGTCTTGTTGTCAATCCCAGTTGTAAGAGCAACAAATAATAACTTGATTTCTAGTTGATCATTTGGAAAAGTGGCAGAAGGTAGATTTTTCCAGTGAATCATCTGTTGAACTGCACCCCAATCATCACAAATACTGCAGAAGATCTATTGAAACCTGCGTGAACTCAAGATTCTCACAGATATCAGTTAAGTTTGATAAAGGAAAAATCATGGTTCAGGGTTACATTTAGTATGGAAGTGTGCAAGAGATCTGCAGAGTGGATGGCAACATCAACAGCCTGAGGTATCAAGACATTTGTGCTGCCCATTACAAACCACAGGAGAGGAGGGCAAATTCTTCAGCAGGATAGCGCTCCTTCTCATACTTCAGCCTCCACATCAAAGTTCCTGAAAGCAAAGAAGGTCAAAGTGCTCCAGGATTGCAGCCCAGAACATGAACATGAACATTATTGAGCATGTCTGGGGTAAGATGAAGGAGGAGGCATTGAAGATGAATCCAAAGAATCTTGATGAACTCTGGGAGTCCTGCAAGAACACTTTCTTTGCCATTCCAGATGACTTTATTAATCAGTTATTTGAGTTATTGCAGAGATGTATGGATGCAGTCTTTCAAGCTCATGAGAGTCATATACATTCATTCATTCATTTTCTTGTTGGCTTAGTCCCTTTATTAATCAGGGGTCGCCACAGCGGAATGAACCACCAACTTATTCAGCAAGTTTTTTACGCAGCGAATGCCCTTCCAGCCGCAACCCATCTCTGGGAAACATCCACACACATTCACACACACACTACGGACAATTTAGCCTACCCAATTCACCTGTACCGCATGTCTTTGGACTGTGGGGGAAACCGGAGCACCCGGAGGAAACCCACGCGAAGGCAGGGAGAACATGCAAACTCCACACAGAAACGCCAACTGAGCCGAGGTTTGAACCAGCGACCTTCTTGCTGTGAGGCGACAGCACTACCTACTGCGCCACTGCCTCGCCTAAGTCATAGACTTTATATTCTATACTGTACATTTTTTCTATTAAGTGACAAGACTTTTGTACGAGCAAAGTCAGACCTTACTGTCCTAATTAAATAAATAAAAATCAAGACATGATCATATTATAATTTCGTAAAGTTAGATTAATCTAGAGGCCTTTACTTTTCATATAAGTCACTTCTGATACCAAATGATCAACTAGAAGTCAAGTTTTTATTTGTTGTTCCTAAAACTTGGATAGGCAAGACTTTTGACCAAAAAAAGTTTCCTAATTTCCACAAAATATTGGTTTTGTGTTACAGATTGTGCACCAATATAAAAGCCATTATTTCTGTGCTTTCTCTGTGTGTGTGTGTGTCTGTGTGTGTGTTTGCAGGCCTACAGATTGTGTTAAACTCCATCATGAAGGCGATGGTTCCCCTGTTGCACATTTCTTTGCTTGTCCTCTTTGTCATCATCATCTACGCCATCATTGGACTGGAGCTCTTCATAGGACGAATGCATCGCACCTGCTTTTTTATAGGCACAGGTAACCGCACACACTCACATAAAAGATGAATATATGTCTTTTGTCATTCTCTGTCATTCTCCATCTGCCTCTCTCTTCTGTTTCTTAGATAATTATGCAGATGATGATCCTCTGCCCTGTGCGTTTGCGGGTCATGGTCGCCAGTGTTATGTCAATGGCTCTGAGTGCAGGGGAAAGTGGGAAGGGCCGAACGGTGGCATCACAAACTTTGATAACTTCTTCTTTGCCATGTTAACAGTATTCCAGTGCATCACAATGGAGGGCTGGACAGACGTCTTGTACTGGGTAAGCTACTGTATGCAGTGTTTTCATAGATTGCGACTGTTTTTCTTTAGTAGAACGTTAAAGAAGACTTTAAGCTGAAACTAATTTTATTAATTATTATTTACTAATTTTATGAATAACTGAAGTTTATGTTATATAGTTAACATTATATGCAAATGTTATTCATTTTACTGCAAGTGTGCTAGTAGCCATTGACTGTAACCTTAATTTTAGCTAATAATGGATTTCTTCTACTAAAGATTCTATAGTTGAGTGAATTGTGTGTGACACAGATACAATTATGTTTGTCTTTGTGTTTATTTGTGCAGATGAATGATGCAATTGGCTTTGAGCTACCATGGGTTTACTTTGTCAGTCTGGTCATCTTTGGATCCTTCTTCGTTCTCAATCTTGTGTTGGGTGTGTTGAGCGGGTGAGTTCAAATGAGCACGCTTCATATATAAGTTCGTATTAGGGCTGCACAATGTATTGTTTCAGCATCGATGTCACAATGTGTGCATGATGTATTACTGTATGTTAAGCCCAGTTGACTAGCAGCCACAGAACACACGTGATTTGTTGAGTCTTTGCAGATTTTAACCATAATAGAGTGAAATTATCATTAGCATGCGTTTTTCAGGCCTGTGACTGAGCTTTTTAAGGGAGTTTAAATCATTTTGCTACAAGAAATTATGGATTTGGAAGTGTAAAAACAATTAATTTTATTTAATTACTTTTAGGATGAAGACTATACAGGGTTATTTTACATTTGCACTGGGGAAAAATGCTTTTCAGAGCGACACAATGGCTCAGTGGTTAGCACTGTTGCCTCACAGCAAGAAGATTGCTGGTTTGAGTCCTGGCTGGGTCAGTTGGCATTTCTGTGTGGAGTTTGCATGTTCTCCCTGTGTTCGTGTGGGTTTCCTCCAGGTGCTCCAGTTTCCCCACACAGTCCAAAGACAAGCTGAATAAGTGAATTAGGTCAAACAAAAATTGGCCGTAGTGTATGAGTGTGTGTGTGAATGTGTATATGGGTGTTTCCCAGTACTGGGTTGTAGCTGGAAGGGTATCCGGTGTGTAAAACTTTCATTCCGCTGTGGTGACCCCTGATAAATAAGGGATTAAGCCGAAGGAAAATGAAAAAAAAAAAGCTTTTTTATACTTGGATTTTTGGTTTATTTGCAGTCCATATATATATATATAAGTTTCATAATAATTGATAATTTTCAAACCTAAAACAACATTATTTTACTCACCCCCTTGCAGATTATTTTTCTTGTTTTAGGAAAAAATACATAAATTTTTTTATTTCTGAAAACAAAACAATCATTTTGCTTGTCAGAAAAATATTTCTTGATTTTAAAATGTAAGTACATTTTTATATTAAAAAAAACAACAACTCAAAACCATCTGGTGAATATAATATAATATATATAAATAAAATATGAATTCATATTTGAACATTTGTAGGTGTCATTTATACAGTACTGAATATTGTTTTAATGGGAAAATAATGGAAAAAAGCAAATTTATTTCAACATTTTGTCCCTACCACTATATGAAATATATAAAGCAGCTTTTATTATATTCACCATATAAATTCATTAAATTTGGCGTTGTTACAGTACTGTCAAGCTGCACTGTTCAATCTAAAGGATAATTTTCGCTAATATATTGTATTTGATGATATTAGGAGCAAAGTACAACTAGAATTTTCATTCATTCATTCATTCATTCATTCATTCATTCATTCATTTATTCATTTATTCATTCATTCATTCATTTCTTTTCAGCTTAGTCCCTTTCCCAGGATTCTCTTGTACATAAAATAAAAATGTACATTTGAAATAAAGTAGCAGTAAACAGTTGTGGTCAGTAAGTTTGTAGTCTTTTATCCTCCCAGAGGCTGGATTTATTTTAATCACAATAAAGTAAAAATGTTTTCTGCTTTAATGTATTTAAATTTTTTTTTTTTTTACATTTTGTAGCTGCCATCTAGTCAAGAATTATCTTAAGGATTCAATATTCTCAAATAAAAACTGAAATTTTAGAAAAATAAGGATATTATCATCAATCGTTTGACTTTTTAATTATGAAACAATTGTCATATATTAATTGTCTCTTTAATCTCTTTTCAAAGTTAAACTGATGTTTTGAGCTGGAATTTGAGCCTTCTGTGAATTTTAAACCCTACATACCTAATTTGATTGGACCTCAGTAATATTAACATTGAAAAACACTTTTAAACATCTAAGGCTGTCCTGCCTAAAACTGTAACTTTTAATCATTTTTGTGATCATAACAACAAGCAGATTACACTGTGATGGAGTACAGTTTTAATATTGGGGCCAGACAATTTGGTCATTTTTAATTGAGGACAATACTTTGCTAATTCTGATCCTTAATATTTACGAGCTAAGCCTTTGTTCTTCACAACATCATAACCTGTGCATGTCTGTGTGAGTGATTTTGTTTAACAGAAGACATGAGTAGATATTAGATGTTAATGTTTTTATACTCACCTGACTGGATGTTAAGAGCAGCAGGCCTCTGTTAAACAGAGTGTGAAAGTGCGGAGTGTGTGTTTGTGCACACGTGCGTTTGCTTTGCTCGTCTGACAGGCCGTGCTTGTGTGTAGAGAATTCTCCAAGGAGAGAGAGAAGGCGAAGGCGCGTGGAGATTTCCAGAAGCTCAGAGAGAAGCAGCAGATGGAGGAGGATCTGTGTGGATACATGGACTGGATCACTCAGGCTGAGGATATCGATGAGTTTGATGAGGATGGAAACAGACGTGAGAGATTTCTCCTCTTTTCAAGTCCTCAATACTAGTTGTTTATTTTGGAAACCTGTTTGACATACAAACTCATATACAGTTGAAGTCAGAGAGAAGATTTTTTCAACACATTTCTAAACAATCGTTTTAATAACTCATTTCTAATAACTGTTTTATTTGATCTTTGCAATGATGACAGCACATAATATTTTACTAATTAGGTTAACTAGGCAGGTTAGGGTGATTAGGCAAGTTATTGTATAACGATGGTTTGTTCTGTAGACTATCAAAAATATAGCTTAAAGAGGCTAATAATTTTGACCTTAAAAAGGTTTGTAAAAAATTACAAACTGTTTTATTCTTGGCAAAATAAAACAAATAAGACTTTCTCTAGAAGAAAAAATATTATCAGACATACTGTGAAAATCTCCTTGCTCTGTTAAACATCATTTGGGAAATATTGAAAAAAGAAGAAGAAAAAAATCAAAGGGGAGCTAATAATTCTGACTTCAACTGTATGTATATATATATTTATATATAGAATTTTTTTTTTTTTTTTTGCTAAAGAAAATTAAATCTTTTACAAAACTACAATGCTGAGTTTAAATTAGAAATAAAGAGCTCTTGAAAAAATGAAGAATCGAATCCACAAATACTTTTTATTGCCATAATATATTTAAATTTTACAATATTTACATTTTATACATTTTACATTTACAAATAATACAAAATAAAAGGATATATATGTAAAACTAAACAAAAAATAAACAAACAAAAATAAATAAATAAATAGTTAAAAAATGCCCCTTATTTGGTTTATGGTAATCTATTCGAAAGTGATCATTATTATCAAGGCAAGGCAAGGCAAGTTTATTTATATAGCACATTTCATACACAGTGGCAATTCAAAGTGCTTTACATAAACAAGAATAAAAAAGACAAATTTAAGAACATAAAAAACAAACAATAAAAATGATTAAAAACAGATTAAAATGAGTTAAAACAGGTTATAAAAGAATGAAAAAGAAAAACATAATAGTATGATTTGTCGGATGTAGCACAGTGCTCATTCAGTAAAGGCACAGCTAATCAGATGTATTTTCAGTCTCAATTTGAATGTGCCTAATTATCATACTGAATACAGTGTACAGCAAATATACAGAGTGAAGAGTGCATCATTTGAGAACTGTAAGACTGGAACTATATTGTCCACATAAAAATTATTCATCAACTTCTTCCTCTGGTAATTTCACACCTTCGATATATCTGATGAAGGGACTCCATATATTTTCAAATACATGCTGTTTAGCTTTTAGTATGCAAGTTTTTTTTTCTTATGGCAGGCTTGAAAAAATCTGTCTTATCCATTGAGTTGTGTTTGGTTTTTGCGTCTTTGTCCGAAGCAAAGCTACACATTTTTTGGCATAAAGCAAGCTGAGGTCTATAAATACTTGTTTGCTTTCACTATAGTTTGAATTCTCTGGGTATAAGCCCAGCAAAAAAAAGCTTTGAGTCGTGGAGGTTTTGCTTTAAAATGATCTTTTCACTTATGACTCTATCTCTTCCCAAAATAATTTATCTTCCAAACATTTTGTGCAAATATTGGGTATGTTTTTAATTATATTTATTTAATTCTACTGGTGTTACATTTGTCCGCATTATCCATTATATTGTATAAGTTTAAGACGTGAATTTATAGACATAGTATGAGCCTTAGTACAGGCTTTTTTCCAGTTCTCATCTGAAACTTCAGACTGTAAATCTTCCTTCCATGCATTCAACCTACCACAAATACATTTGAATCAAAACAAATTATTGCACCTATTAATCTCAGATCCAGAAAACTAATAATAACTATCAAGTGGTCTCTTATATTGTAGTTATCATTTTTCCACACAAACAGAAGCTAAATATTCTCATTTCTCCACAATTATGTGTAAGATGATGAACTCTGTCAAACATCTTCAATTTTTGTCCTCCAACTAACCTGCTTTCTTTTTTTTCTCCCTCTGGATCTTTGATCTCCCCTCAGGTGTGACTTTGCGTGACCTCGCTGATAAGAAGAGGGGGAAATTCGGCTGGTTCAGCCACTCGAACGAAACCCACGGTACGGCCAATAAGAACGAGCCGCACGACCCCTTCACCCCCTCCACTGCTCTATATATAGACCCCCTCAACATCGTCTGGTCTAATTGTATAATTTACATCTGGGGCTAGAAATCACATCTCTCCATTGGACCCATATTAAGTGCTTTGACCCTATTTCAGAAAAATTGCTTTTCTCCAAAACTGTGTCAAACTGTGTGGCCGACATTATTCTTTCTCTTTTTCTCTCTTCTGTCTCTGTGTATCTGTCGCTTTTTTTTTCTTTTCGTTTGCTATAGCAAGCCTTCCAGCCAGTGAAACAGCTTCGGAAAACACTGAAAACATAGATGAAGAACACACAGATTGTTGTGCTGCGTGCTGGTAAATCACACACACACACAAACACACACACAAACACCCAGCAACTATAATTAGAAACAACAAAATGCGCTACATTTGTCATTGTGTTGTCCTGCTGGCTTACTAATGGAAGTTGTTATCAGCCGTAATGGAGTGTCATCCCTTAATTTCTCATTATGTGCTCTTTTTCTTTATTTCTTTGTGCTCTCGCTAGTCAGTTCATTACTCTGGGCTTCTTGGGCTGGCTTTGTTTCAGTATCTGAACTGGATCTTTGTTCACGATGCATCAGAGTGCACAGTTTGGTGTTGTGCTTGTCTTTGACCTCATTGTCATTTTTTGTTTTGTTTTGTTCAATGTTCGGTGACTTCAGCGCTCGCATTATGAAGATCCCATGCTGGTGAGTCTTTGTGAGGAGAAATACGTTGATCATTGTAGACTTCTTAGATAAATACACTTTACTTTTTGAAAATACACTTCATCATACATTTTTATTTCTTTAATAGTGCACAAATCTAGCGAAATTAATGAAAATGTGATAAAGAAAATGAATACTTGTGCTTAAAAGTTAACCTGTTCACTAAGTGTTTTCTGCAAAAATATTTTTGTTGTCTTAAAGGGGACCAATTATGTGAAAATCATTTTTATACAGGGTTTAATATTGCAACAGTGTGTGAATATAGCCAGTCTCTAATGGTAAAAATTATCTAAAAATGGTTAAAAAAAAAAAAAAAAACAGTCTGCAGAAACACTTTGATTGACATTCTCTCTTTGTACATGCCATATGAAGTGAAAAGTTTCACCCATGCTGTTTTGAATCTGCCACTATGCTGATGCATAGGCGTTTGTAGCTCCGCCCTCTTTTCACCAAAACAACACAATTTGGATTAAAGCCTCAAAAGGGCTGTCACGAAAACTGGTGCATTAGACAGGCTTGAGAGGTGCAGCAAATGTTTATTGAAAATAAAGCAGGAACAAAACAAAGGGCAAAAAAAAAAGAGCAGAAAACTAAAACTCAGAGACCAGCCACAACTCAGCTACCACATTTTACAACAGATTAACACTCACTGAAATATAAGGGCTAATTATACAGGTGGCAACAATTAGGCTTATCAAATGGATGAGGTAAAAAGGGGAGGAGACTGAGGCTGTTTTTCAATTCCAAGAACGCAGAGAATAAACTTACGTTCTTGTGGAGAACGGTCTTGCCAGGTCATCTCGGAAGAACGAACTCGGGAGACCATGAGAACACAGAACGCGTCCTCTAAGAAATGAGATGCTGCTTACTTACTGATGGTCACATGACCTTCACACGTTTTTAATGGAAAATTATTTAAACATTTCAGCATTCATACAGCGAGTTATTGTTTTGCCTTTTTCAAAATATATACTCTACATAAAGAATTTACAAATATACACTGCACAATATAATTAAAACAGATTTTACTAGGAAACATTTTTAATGTGTTTATTCCTTTATTAAGATTTTCATGTTTATGTTTAAATTTACTGTTTCATTTGGGGAAGCTCCTGACTGGTAAAAAAGTTTTATCTCTGAAATTTATTATTAAATCTATATAAAATGCTGTGCTTCCCACCTCCAGTCACAATGACTTCTGGGACTTCTAGAGTGAGTCTGCATCAGTGCGTTCTTGATATCAAAAACACATCCGGGAAGTTTCACATGTCCTCCATTCTTGAGGTCTTGAGTATTGGAATTAAACTTTGGCAGATGATGATGACACGAGAACACGAGGACATTGAGAAATAGCCAATGACTCAAAAGGAAAACCGACAGGGTTAGAATAAGCAAAGAATAATAGACACACTTAACAAAACAAGGTCAGACACATACAAAGACAGGGCTGGGACTTTAACAGACAGTTTCAAAGAGTTACAAAAATTAATTTTTGGCATTTTAAGCTGAAATTTCACATACTCACTTTAGAGATATCAGTTACTTATTTTACATTTTGTAAAAAGTGGCATAATAGGTCCTCTTTAGAGATATTTTATAAATATCTTAGAAAAATATATATATAAATATAAAAATAATAATATAATATAATATAATATAATATAATATAATATAATATAATATAATATAATATAATATAATATAATATAATATAATATAAAATTACATTGTTGGAAAGAAATATGGATTTTATTTTTCATATGTTTATATGCTTTGTGCTAATTTTGCTTTCTTGATGCTAATTGAATTATAAAACCCACTGTAAATAATATAATAATGTAACAATATAAATAATATAACAATGGTATATGCAGTGATTACTACATTATTGGTTTGTTTTGTTTTTTTAGCCGTGCCCTGCGTCGCTGGAACCGCTGCATCCGGAGAAACTGTCGTACGGCAGTGAAATCTGTGACATTTTATTGGCTGGTGCTGATCCTGGTCTTCCTCAACACAGCTCTCAGTGCTTCAGAGCATTACAACCAACCAGAATGGCTCACAGACGTTCAGGGTATAAAGCTGTTACCAAACATCACCTTACTGACACATCATGTGTACTGGCCCACAGCGTCAGCCACACTTTTATTTATGGACATCTGTTAGCTGATGTGTTGTCAAGGTGTCCATCAAGGTGTTACCGGTGACAAAAAACATTGAGCAGGGATCATATCTGTTTCTCTCCTTCTCTGTTTCTCACAGACATCGCCAATAAGGTTCTACTCTCGTTGTTCACGGTGGAGATGCTGTTGAAAATGTACAGTCTGGGGTTGCAGGTTTATTTCGTCGCGTTTTTCAACCGTTTTGACTGTTTTGTCGTGTGTGGTGGGATTCTGGAGACGGTTCTGGTGGAGATGGAAATCATGCCGCCTCTTGGCATCTCAGTGTTACGCTGCGTTCGCCTGCTTCGAATCTTCAAAGTCACACGGTACTCGAGCCACTTTTATTCACACAGTGTGATTTAAATGAGCTTTCTATTGTTTACATGACCCTCTTTTTTTTAGATTTTCTTGGCAGAAAACGTTAAGCATCAAAAAGTAAATGAAGAATATAATTTCAATTTATAAACGTAAAAAAAAAAAGTGATATAGCTTTTTGTTTGAATTCATTTTAATATGCTTATTGTGTAACACTTGTATATCTTTGTTATTGCCTTTACCTGGATGGTTGACCTCAACATTTTTATTTACTCATTGTTTATTTTCCCTCAAGTGCTTCTAAACATTTATGAGTTCCTTTCTTTTGTTGAACACCGAAGAAGCTCTTTTGAAAGAAATAAAGAAAGCAGAATTCCTGGAACCATTGATTTACTGTTAAAGTTATGTTAAAGTTTTAAAGTTAATAAAGTTAACTGTTAACGTTAATGAGTTATTAAAACCCCTGAATTATTAGCCCCCCTGTTTATTTTTCCCCTTTTTTCAACACACAATTTTTAGTTTCATTTACTCTGTTCTAATAACTGACTTATTTTATGTTTTATATTTTATGCCATGATGACAGTGAATAATATTTTACTAGATATTTTTCAAGACATTTCTATACAGCTTAAAGTGACATTTAAAAGCTTAACTCGGTTAATTAGGTTAACTAGGCAGGATAGGGTTAATTTTTTAGCAGACATACTTTGAAAATTTCCTTACTCTGTTAAACATTGTTTGGGAAATATTTAAAAAAGAAAAATTCAAAGGGGGTTTAATAATTCTGACTTTAACTGTATATAATAGGAAAAACAACTACTATGGAAATCAATGATTAGCAGTTTCCATTATCTTACAAAATATCTTCTGAAGAAGGGAACTCATAAAGAACAAGTGAAGGGTGAGTCAATGATGACAGCATTTTCAGTTTTGGGTGAACAATCCCTTTTAGTAGTTACACATATGTTTGTTTGTTTGTTTGTTTTTTTTTTTTTTTAAGATTCACTCAGATTCTCTATTCAGAATATTAATTGACCTTTGTTTGACCCAAAATTGATATTGGCTGAATTTGTTTATTAGTCCAGTCAACATTAGCCATTTTGAATGTTGATTAGGTTAGAAAATAACCCTTAATTTAGTATTTTTTTATTATAAGTATTTAAGTATTTTTGCAGTAACACTTTACAATGCAGTGACACTTTATCTATTATTAAATCCTTAACTTATTCACAGATAATTGTGAGTTAATATATAACTCATGAACAACAACTGTTTATCAACAATGATGGCATCAACAACAAATAAACATTCAATATGATTCCTATAATGAACTGTTAATAGTTAAGTGTGTAGTAATTTCTTATTAACTAATAGTGTAAATAAATATTTAAATTAACTAATTGTGTAAATTTATGTTTTGATGCTCTTTTTAGTCATCATAATGCATGAAGACTTCCACTTTTAACAATAACAGAATATATATATGCTAATATCTGGAATTAGTAATATTTTTCTTACACAAAAAGTGTGTATGCCTTTTATAGTACATGCACCAATGGGCATAGAAAACCCCTTGTATGATTTCCTTTCTTTAACTAATTTATAGTATTTGGAAGTTCACCTCTGTGTTTATTTGTGTGTTGTTAATAATGTTGTTTATGTCCTCACTTCTCGGCTCTGCTAAATCTTGCTCCACTATTCTTCTTCAGGCACTGGACAGCTCTGTCCAATCTGGTGGCCTCGCTGCTCAACTCAATGAAGTCTATTGCCTCCCTGCTGCTGCTGCTCTTCCTCTTCCTCATAATCTTCGCTCTGCTTGGCATGCAGCTGTTTGGAGGGAAGTTTAATTTTGACGAGACTCAGACCAAGAGGAGCACATTTGATTCCTTTCCTCAGGCCCTGCTCACCTGCTTTCAGGTAATAAAACACCCCGTAACATTGAAACTGTCACAATAATGCACTGTCTTAAAGCCTCTCTATATTCAGCTTCATGTCAATATATAAAACAGTATATCAGAATTTTAAACAGACAGGACTTTTTTGTATATATGCGTTTATTACATTTTTGCTTTTACAAAAAAATAAAATAAATAAATAAATAAAATAACATCCTTAGAAAATAATGATGATCCAGTGACAACAACAGTTAAACAAATGACAAAAAAAAAAACAAACAAACAAGAAGATACAGCTCACATACACAAATAGGGCTTTACAGGTGCACATATACATACATGGAAGTTTAGAAGATCTGGAGAACTAAAAGAATGTTGAAGTATTAATAGTATGTGTAAAACAATCAACAAAATGAACCATATCCTCTTGTCAGGATAGAAGCAATATCAAAATCAAGATATGTCAGGAAAGGTTCCTCCACTTTTATCATGCACAATACAGGTCAGATAATCTAAGGACGTGTATTCAAAAATAGTTCAGTACATCCTAACATAGGGAGCCTTATCTGAGATCCATTGTAAAAGTATATATTTTATTTCATTAAAAATAAAAAAATCGAAAAGCCTCATTTTGTACTTATTAAGACTTACGGGAGGGGACTTTCCTAACAGATAAGATGCTAACTGACAGGACTTTAAAACACAATTACATGTTATTCTTGTAGTTTCTGGAGTAACCAATGTAACCAATTTAGCTTCATTTACATTAAGGGTTTTATTTACATTGAGACACATCACTCTTAATTTAAAGAAACACACTTGAAAGCAGTGTGTTTATGTTTCCATTTAAAAAGCTATATTTATAATACAATATTTATGATAGATTTATGATTTGTGAGACATCTTACACTAAAACCTCAAAAGGTACACCTGAGGATTATAGTTTTTACATTATAATAATGTAAAAAGTATAGGACAGCTTTAAATAATTTTTTTGCTTTATCCAAATGTGTCAATTTATATTCAGTAAATATAAAAAAATCAAATACATTTTTAAACAATGTTTTTAAAAAAAAACATTTCACAACACTTTTCACAGAACGGTTACAGAAATACATTTTCCACCTTTACAATATAACACATTGTTTTCTCCAATTTTCACACAATACCTTTGTAATCACTTAAAAGTTCCTTTAATTTCCTTTAAGTTCCTTAAGGAACATTGTATGTACCACCGTGTACCTTTTTTCTGAGAGTGTAGAAACGAAACATACTATGGAGGTCAATGGCTGTTGCTTTTCCAACATTCTTTAAATATATATATTTTTTTCTTTTGGGAACACAAAGAACATATTTGAAAGATTTTAGGTTTAAAACAAGTTGAAGGTGAATAAATTGAAGACATACTGTAGGTAGAAGATTCGTGGAAAATATTTAGTTTGGAACAAGTGGAAGGTAAATAAATGATGACAAAATGAAGGTTTTTGCTCCAGAGTTTGCTTTTCTCACTACAGATCCTAACAGGTGAAGACTGGAATGTAGTGATGTATGATGGCATCATGGCATACGGTGGACCGGTTTTCCCTGGAATGATCGTCTGTCTATACTTTGTGATTTTGTTCATCTGTGGTAACTGTATCCTTTGCCTTTGAAACCAGCTCGCTTGCTAATTTGGTGACCATTAATTGTGTTTATGTCATTTCAGCAATGAAGCACCAGCAGTTATACTGTTGAAATCAGAATTATTAGCCCACCTGAAATATTAGCCGCCACCCCCCTAATATATTGCCTAAAGGGGCTAATTCAAAACTGCTTTTAGCTAAAATAAAACAAATAAGACTTTCTCCAGAAGAAAAAATATTATCAGACATACTGTGAAAAATGCCTTGCCCTGTTAAACATCATTTGGGAAATATAAAAAATAAATAAATAAATAAATCAAAGGGGGACTAATAATTCAGAATTTAACTGTATATTTATTTCAATTTATGGATTTTACTTGGTTTTTAAAAGGACAATTAATTGCATTATAAGAATGGATTATTTTTAAGGATCAAAAATTAAAGGTGAAATACAGCTTAAAATTTCTTTACATTTGAATTAACATGTCCTCAAGTCCTTTTGGGGGGGGGGTTTATTTGTTATTCCTTAATCTGTTTTTGATCAGATATTCTGCTGAATGTCTTCTTGGCCATCGCTGTTGACAACTTAGCAGGAGGAGATGGAGACAACAAGAAAAATGAGTGGGTTTTTAAATCGTATCAAATAATATTATATTATATTATATTATATTATATTATATTATATTATATTATATTATATTATATTATATTATATTATATTATATTATATTATATTATGTTATGTTATGTTATATTATATTATATTATATTATATTATATTATATTATGTTATGTTATGTTATGTTATGTTATATTATATTATATTATATTATATTATATTATATTATATTATTTGTGTTTATAGTAAGTGCCATGAAAGAGTCCAACATTTTAAAAGCATTTCAGCAAAGCAAAAACCAATTAGTTTTTTTTTTCTCAACATTTTACTGAAAATTTTCTTCTATTTTTTTACTGAAGTTGGCTATTCTATTATTTTTATGTTAAATAAAAACTGATTAAAAAACTGTTTATAATTGTGTACTTATAAGCACTTACTTTATATCAACACACAAAGATTATGACCTGTGTTCTATTGATCCTGACAGAGAAAAAAAAGAGGGTGAAGCAGAACCAGCAGAAGAAGAGAATGGAGAGGTGAAGGTATGCAAATCAAACTCTTCTGTTGTCCCTGTTGTTGAATAATACTGAATATCAGTCGCATTGAGATGGTGTGTTTTAACAGGTGGACATGGATGAAGAGTACGAGGAGGAAGAGGAGCCTGAGGAGGGAGATGATGAAGGTAAAGTCAGCAGAAGTTTGACGCCATATTATGAAGGGTTTTATGGTGATTCAGCAGACATTTGCGACCATAATTAGTCATGTCATGGCACACATTCATTGCACTAACAGTCCCTCTGGAGTGTCCCGAGGTTTGGGTTGTCAACTCAAGGGTACAGTGCTGATAGAGCTAGATTGTGATCTCATTAACTCTATTTCTCTGTATTTCTTTCTGTCCATCTTTCCTCTGGAAGAAGGGAAAATTCAGCTCAATGTTGCTGACTTCGCTCCTCCTAAAGAGAAGATTCTTCCTATCCCAGAGGGCAGTGCGTTCTTCTGCCTCAGCAAGACCAACCCGTGAGTGTGCACTTTAAAGCACACGCTACACACACACTTGTCCATCTGAAGAGACAGTTTACCCTCAAAATTAAATTCTGTCATCATTTATTCATGTCATTCCAAACCCGAATGGCTTTCCTCTGTAAGAAAAGACCGTAAATTGGAAATTAATAGTCATCAAATGTATTTGGTTAGGAGCATTCTGCAGAAGGAAAAAGTCATACTGGTCTGGAACAACTTGTGTGAGTGAATAATAAGAGGAATTATTTCTTTATTAATATGTACACTCTGTAAAAAGTTCTGGGTTCCACACAATTTCTTCATGTTGTCCCAACACAAATCGATTAAGTTAACTTTGTTTTTGCAAATTTAAGTGGATTTAACATAAAACAATTTAGTTGTCCCTCAAAACAACTTAAGAATTGTGTTGTTTTAACTAATTTTAGATTAGTTTCAACAAGCAGCAAAAGTCATTTTTGAGTGTATTATGCTGTTATTGCATTGTTAAAATGTTAGTTAATTAAAAAACCCCTGTTATGCTTTATAAAATCCCATCCGCCGCACACTGCTTGTGTTTGAAGGGAAGGGCGGGTTCAAGTTTTCTCAGTTATGGTGGCTCATATATGGCAATGACGACTTCAATATGAAATGGCTACATATTTGGAACTCTGAGTCAACCTTTCTTTTTGAGTATCAGTAGTTTTTAACAGATTTAAACCTCAGCTTGACATTTTTGTAATTTTGTAATTTTCAAAAACCCATTATAGGGGCTTTTTAACAGTTGTCAGTAACAAAATTTTATTTAATTGTTGACATTTTTTGTCCTTTAAAAATATTTATTGCATAGGAAATAATATAATTAGAAAATAAATCCACGAGTATTGAAAAGTTATTGGGAGCTCATTATCTTTACGTGATGTAAATGAATAATCTAGAAAGTATATTGTTCCAAACTACAAGAAATCTCAATAAAAGTCAATAAGTTTTTAGTGTCAAAATTGTTTTGAGCAGAGATAAAGTTCCTATAATTGAATTTAAAAGAAGTGTAAGTAAATGAAATACATCCATGATTTACACACTATGGAAAATTGTTAATTAATAGATTTTTACAGCATGTACAGTAATTACAGTTTCAACATGACAGAGATTTATACACCTCAAATATAAGTTTCTTTTCCTCCAATGTTCCAATTTTTTATCCAATTTTTGTTCCGAAAAACAGATTTTTTTTTTTTTTTTTGTGTGTGTACAGTGGTCCCTCTTTATTCGTGGGAGTTTCGTTCTAAAAATAACCCACAATAGGTGAAATTTTACTACTAGTTATAGCACAAAATTAACATGAATGTTCTCTCTACAGTTATGAGTTATTAAAACTATTATGTTTAGAAATGTGTTAAAAAAATCTGCTCGCCATTGAACAGAAATTGGGGAAGAAATAAACAGGGGGGCTAATAAATTCTGGCTTCAAATATTTAAATATTCTCATGCGACTGACTAATTAAAGAATACATTTACAAAAGTCGTTTGACTTTTGAATACTACACAGCTAACCACAATGGTCTTTGTGTTTCCCTCCAGGATAAGAGTGGGCTGCCATACCCTGATCCATCACCACATCTTTACCAATCTCATCCTGGTCTTTATTATTCTCAGCAGCATTTCACTGGCTGCGGAGGATCCCATCAGAGCTCACTCCTTTAGGAACAATGTGAGTCTCTCTCTCTCTCTCTCTCTCTCTCTCTCACACACACACACACACAAACGCAGGGTCCTAAAAGTAATTTACTGCAGCTTTCCTGATTGGCATGTTGGACGAGCTCCTCGGTGCCAGCTGGTAAAACGCCATCCTTCAATCAGCTGACCATCAAAGACACACACACACACACACACATACACGCACACACACATAAATACACACATAGTGTAGCTTAACATGATTTACCCAAGCAGTACATGTTCCTGGATCAGCATTCATGTTAGACTTTAAACAATATTTGCCATCATCCAATCAGATCTGAGGTTTAGGGTCGTGACTGGGGGTCAAGGGCTTGAACTGTGTGCTTATTTCCTTGAAGAGTTTATAATAAGGGTTAAGAGCATGATTGTTTGGTGGGAGTCAAAAACAAAGGATATTGATCCAGAAACATGTCCTATTTTTTTGAAATTGCAAGCAAATCTGTGGCCATGCATCATATTTTTATGACAGGAGAACCTCTTTTCTGTTTCTACAGGTGTTGTTTATTTATTTAGCTATTTATCTATCTATTTATTTATTTATCTATTTATTTACTTATTTATTTATTTATTTGTATGGCTGTATTTATTTAGTTTATTTATTTATTTAGCTATTTATTTATTTAGCTATTTATATATTTATTTATTTTTATTGTTGTATTTATTAGTTTATTTATTTATTTAGCTATTTATTTCTATATTTATTTATTCGTTCATTCATAAATTTTATTTTCGGCTTAGTCCCTTTATTAATCTGGGGTCGCCACGGTGGAATGAACCGCCAACTTATCCAGCATGTGTTTTTACACAGCGAATGCCCTTCCAACCACAAATTTCACTGGGAAATTAATTAATTCATTCATTCATTACACATGCACACACACATAAATACACACATACTGTAGCTTAACATGATTTACCCAAGCAGTACATGTTCCTGGATCAGCATTCATGTTAGACTTTAAACAATATTTGCCATCATCCAATCAGATCTGAGGTTTAGGGTCGTGACTGGAGGTCAAGGGCTTGAACTGTGTGCTTATTTCCTTGAAGAGTTTATAATAAGGGTTAAGAGCATGATTGTTTGGTGGGAGTCAAAAACAAAGGATATTGATCCAGAAACATGTCCTATTTTTTTGAAGTCGCAAGTAAATCTGTGGCCATGCATCATATTTTTATGACAGGAGAACCTCTTTTCTGTTTCTACAGGTGTTGGGATATGCAGATTATGCTTTTACTTCCATATTCACAGTGGAGATCTTACTGAAGGTACTGAGACAAAAAAAATATGCCAAAATTAGACGGAGATTTATAATAGTAAAGTTGCCAGTATCCATTTTTTCTGCCACATTGTATAATTTTAGTAACAGTTTTATAACAAATATTACTGTTACACTTTTGCGAAACTATGGTTAATGTTTATTTGCTAAGATTACCAATTTTATTTTTGCATTAGGCCAGTCATAGGAGAACTGAAACATAGAAACCCCCTCGTGTTTCTCTTTTTTTTCTGTGTAGATGACAGTTCATGGTGCGTTCCTCCACGAGGGTTCCTTCTGTAGAAACTGGTTTAATCTGTTGGATCTTTTGGTGGTCAGTGTGTCTCTGGTCTCCTTCTTCTTACAGTAAGTCCACTGTGTTCATATTGACAGAATTTGTTTATAAGCTGTGATGCCAAATGCATGCTTCAATGTATGTAAGTGTATGCATTCTGCCCTCTGCTGGATATTGCTAGATAGTGCCATAGCCTGCCTGATTGCAATAGAAATGTTTGTCTTTTTAAGCTTAGAAATAAAGCAAGAGTGTTTAACCTCTTACAGCTGATTGCATTTGCTATGGATTAGAGTTAACTACAGAAATCAAACAGTGGCCACATACACACTGTTGTTAAACTCTGTCAAATGTAGTACCACCCTCAAATTTCCAAGTTGGGTTTTGTGGAAAACAGGGGAACACCGAAGATGCTTTAATACATAGTGCAATTTATTAGACTGCACAGAACTGCATTATAGCAGAACCTTAAAATGTATTTATTATAATTGAATAATGATTAAAAAAAAACTCTGCTGCTTTTGTGCCACACTGTCCTTGTCTTTAGCCATGAGGTTTTAGCCTCATTCAGCTTCATACTACTATGATAATAAGTTTTAAATACTTAAGCTTATCCATGAACTGATTTCCAAGATTCTAAACTTAGTCACTGTGTCATCATACATCTTGTAGCAGCGAAAAATTCCATGCTGTGCCTTTTAAATGATTAGCGGAATTTCAATATTGATATTGCTTACTTTTAGTGCCTAATGCATAAATACAATGAAAAACATGCGTCGTAGTGAAGATCAGTTTGTGCTTTTCTGCAGACCTTTTTAAGCCCACATGTACAAAGTCAGACCTCTTTTTTTCCATCTCTCTCAGTTCGAGTGCCATCTCTGTTGTGAAGATTCTGAGGGTGCTCAGAGTGTTGAGGCCTCTTCGAGCCATCAACAGAGCCAAAGGACTCAAGGTACAGCTTTTAGTGTGTTTTTTATGTAAGGTTTATCTACATATGTTGTCCTTAACAAAAAGTATTTGTTTGCATGTAATGATGCCAACTATAACATATAACTTAATTAACTTAATTAAGCTTAATTTTTGGAGGTCCTTCCTCTACTAGAATACCATATTTTCTTTCTTTTTTTCTTTCTTTCTTTCTTTCTTTCTTTCTTTCTTTCTTTCTTTCTTTCTTTCTTTCTTTCTTTCAGCACATTATATACAGAAAATTTGTTAAGATGTAAAAAAGAAAAAAAGAAAAATGTTTTATATTTTATATAGTTATTAAATCCAAAAAATACTCTACATTTACCTAAAATTTTATCAAAAAGTGCTATTCTCTGGTAACAAAATTCAGAGAAAGATTTATTTATTTATTTATTTATTTATTTATTTATTTAGTTTATTTATTTAGCTATTTATTTATTTGTTTAGCTGCATTTATTTAGATTATTTATTTGTATAGCTGTATTTATTTAGATTATTTATTTGTATGGGTATATTTGTTTAGTTTATTTATTTATTTAGCTATTTATATATTTGTTTATTTATTTATTTATTTATTTATTTGTATGGCTGTATTTATTTAGTTTATTTATTTAGCTATTTATTTATTAAGCTATTTATTTATTTATTTATTTTTATGGATGTATTTATTTAGTTTATTTATTTATTTAGCTATTTATTTTTATATTTATTTATTCGTTCATTCATTAATTTTATTTTCGGCTTAGTCCCTTTATTAATCTGGGGTCGCCACGGCGGAATGAACCGCCAACTTATCCAGCATGTGTTTTTACACAGCGGATGCCCTTCCAACCACAAGATTCACTGGGAAATTAATTAATTACTTCATTAATTAAAGAATTAATTACAAAATATAATTAGTTAGTCAATTACTAAAATTAATTATTAAAAATGTATAAAAAAGAATTAATTACTTATGTATTTATTTGGATCAGTGTATTTATTTTGTTTATTTAATTATTTAGCTATTTAGCCATTTGTTTGGATGGATTTATTTAGTTTATTTTTTTTTTAAATAAATATATAGAATAGACGATAAAATAGCAAGTGTAACTGTTAACATAGTATTTGTTATATATTACTTTGTAACAAATTTAAAAACATCTCTTTTCTATTTTATTACAACTTGAATTTACTCCTGAATTGACAAAGCTGATTTTTCTGTCTCCACTTTCTAGCATATCTATATTTTTAGGAATCATTAAAATATACTTTATTTCTCTATTTTTACATATTTATATTCAGATTGTTCACACCTTTTCTATCAGATGGTGCTGACTTTATTGTTTGTGTGTGCTTTGTGTTTGTGTGTATAGCATGTGGTACAGTGTGTGTTTGTTGCTATAAGGACCATCGGGAACATCATGATTGTCACCACTCTACTTCAGTTCATGTTTGCCTGCATCGGTGTCCAGCTTTTCAAGGTAAAACACGACTTCAGCATCAGCAATACACACTCATGTACTCATTTAAAGCATCATTACTGCTGTGCTTTGCAGGGCAAATTTTATCGCTGCACAGATGAAGCTAAAAACACCCCGGAACAGTGCAAGTATGTCATCATCTAGCTTCTTCTAGCATCTGCCATTACAGTTTAATTCTCCTCTCATGTTAACCACATGTTTCTGCCTTGGGGGAACATGTGTACTTATGTGTCACGAGTGTTTTTGTGCTTTACGTGTCCATTCCGACTGTGTGTCTATGTGTGTGTTTGGGTCACAGGGGCACATTTGTAGTGTATAAAGATGGAGATGTGAGTCACCCGATGGTGAGGGAGAGAATCTGGCTCAACAGTGACTTCAACTTTGATAATGTGCTGATGGGAATGATGGCTCTCTTCACGGTCTCTACTTTCGAAGGCTGGCCAGCGTGAGTCTGACATCTGACATCTTCCTCCATATGTCAGCGAAGGTCAGATTGGCCGCGTTTATACAATATGTTGCTCTTTTTCCACACTCAGGCTGCTCTATAAAGCCATCGATGCCAACGGCGAGAATCACGGCCCCATTTATAACTATCGTGTAGAGATCTCGATATTCTTCATCGTCTACATCATCATCATCGCCTTTTTCATGATGAACATCTTCGTGGGTTTTGTCATCATCACCTTCCGTGAGCAAGGAGAGGCCGAGTTCAAGAACTGCGAGCTGGACAAAAATCAGGTTGGTGGAAAGCAGTTTACAAACACATTACTTCCCCTGTTTGACTTGCTATTGTTAAAAGGTCTGGGGTAATTAAAAAAAAATCATTAAGGATGCAAAAATTTGATCAAAAATAACAGTAAAGACATTTATAAGATTCTTTGATTTAACATCTGTTCTTTTAAATTTTATATTTACTAAAGAATTCTGGAAAACTTTATACAGTGCTCTACAATATTGCTATTGTTACAACTAAAAAGATCACAGCTGACCTTGCTAGCTAGCTAACATGTTGCAATATTGCACATTCCACTATTGCATTTGGCAACACATACAGTTGAAGTCAGAATTATTCGCCCGCTGTTTATTTTTTCCTCAATTTCTGTTTAACAGAGAGAAGATTTTTCAACACATTTCTAAACATAATAGTTTTAATGACTCATTTCTAATAACTGATTTATTTTATCTTTGTCATGATGACAGTAAATAATATTTGACTAGAATTTTTTAAGACACTTCTATACAGCTTAAAGTGACATTTAAAGGCTTAACTAGGTTAATTAGTTTTACTAGGCAGGTTATGGGAATTAGGCAAGTTATTGTATAATGATGATTGTATAATGATGAAACCTACCTTAAGATAGGTTTTAAAAATTTTTTTAAAAAGTTTTAAAAATATTATCCGACATACTGTGAAGATTTCCTTGCTCTGTTAAACGTCATTTGGAAAATATTTAGAAAAGCAAAAAAAAAATCAAAGAGGGGCTAATAATTCCGACTTCAACTATTCATTTGTTTGATTTACAAAAACTAATTTGATGATAACTGTTTTTAAGTTGTGAATGTCAACTTACTGGAGGTGATATCTCAGATTTTTTTGTGGATCTGACATGAGTTGATCCTTTGTATTTATTGATATTTTAATTTGCTTTCAGTAACTACTCACAATAAGCGCCAGTCTGTAAGAAATCGGGCCACAGAAAAACACATCAAAAGCACATCATTGGCTAAACTAAGGTCTTCTCTTTAAAATAAAATAATTTGAACGCTGGTCTTAAAGAAACAGTGGCAGGGAAATGAACATTAATATCATGCTGCCATATGGCAACACCATGCGGTAGAGGTTTAAATACATAAAAAAAAGGAAAAATCAAAAGAAACAAAAGTTATAGGTGGAATTTTGTTTGAATTTTGTAGTTTATAATTTTTTTGCATGAATTTAAATGTATTCTTTTATGTAAATCTTTTTCTGAAGGTATTCGGTGGCTAAAATTTTTTTTAAATAAATATATGTTTAATAAATCTGTTTTGTTGAAATGCACCAAAATATATATTCATTAACAAATGGATAAAATATTTATTTTCAAAATGGGGTGTAATAATTTATGCTGAGCACTGTATATAAGTACAGTTTTTACAACCATTTAAGAAGCACAACAATTTACAACATTGATAATGTGACATTTAACAATTCTGTAGTTTAACAGCTATTTATAAGTTGAAAAGTCCATGTATTGTTAGCAAAACTGTACTGTATTTGTTTTTAGTTAAAACAAAAATGTACTTGCTTTTAAACGTTTGCTTTTTAACATTTAATGAATAGTATTTTTTTCTGTACTGTAGCAGCAAGTGCCATTAGAAGAAATTCTGACCCAGATTTGGCATAAAGCTGGTACAGGAGGCATTTGTCTGGCACTGGCATACAGCATGTGAGCCAAACATGGCCCAGGTTTGGCAGAGGGGTGACACGTCTTTAAGGCGGCACATAAGACTTGGGCCAGATCAAATGAAGTATTTTGCTCAGATGTAAAAAATGTATATGTGGGCCACATAAGTTTGGCCTATTTTGACCCACATTTAAAATACATTTAAATTTATTTTTGAGTAAAGACAATGCCAGTGAGAAAAATACCAATGGGGTCACTTCGAAAAGCATGGCCATAAAACTAAATGCTTAATGGGTTTATGAAATTTATTACAGGCGTGACACATCAACATATCTCGGCCCAGTTCAGGCCCAGTTATGGGTTATTAACTTGGCCCAGATATGGTCCATGTTTGGCCCTTGTATGGAAGCCAGAATTTCTCCAATCATGTACCGTAATTCACTGTGGCATGTGGGCCAAGCAAAAGCTGATTGTGTGGGCCAGATCTGGGCCAGAGAAATTTAGCTATGTGGGGAGTTATATTTTGCTAATGATTTTTTCTTTGTTATGACATGCACAGATAAACTCTTCATAGTAATTACTTATATATTAAGAGCATTTTTTAAGATTCAAGAGATAGATTAAGTACTTTTATTTAAACAGAAAGAAAGTTTTGAGGTCGGGTTATGCACAGCTTCACTCCAGTATGTGTATTTTCTCCCAATACGTCTGTTTGTTTTTGTCACTTTCAGAGACAGTGTGTTGAATATGCCCTAAAGGCTCAGCCGCTGAAGCTGTACATCCCCAAAAACCCAGTGCAGTACAAGTTCTGGTCTATAATCAACTCCACAGGGTTCGAGTACGTCATGTTTGTGCTGATTCTCCTCAACACTGTTACTCTGGCTGTGCAGGTAAACAGCTGAGTCTGACAAAAGCTCACAAAACTTCTACAATCAGCATGTAGAACCATAGACAAAGATGTTTCAGTCTATTTTTGGAATTGTGAATCTGAGTTTATATGAGCAAACTTAAAATCCAGCATAAAGCTGACACCGTGCTGAAATAGTACACTGTAAAAAGCGATTAGTTACTTTAAAAAAGTGAGTTGACCCATTGCCTTAAAATCAACAAGTTGACTTAACTTAGAAAGTGAGTAAAGCCATTGTAACCTGGAACTTTTAAGTCAGTTATAATTATGCACGTAGTTCACTTTTTTAAAGTAAAGCCAAGTAATCACTTTTATATTGTGCCAGAATCACCAAATAAAAATAAATGAATCAAATAATTTTCTAAATCAGTGAACTGATTCTCGAAGCTTTGAATGTACACTTTACATGACAGTGAAGACATTTGATATGATGACAACAGTCTAGTATTAAAGATATGGATTTACATAGTAAAAATGTCTGTGGTGAATGTAACCTCACAATGTTGAATGTAAAATGCACACACTCATATCCCTAACATTGTTTTTTTAATTAAGTGTCATTGTTACATTTGAAGTTGTCATTAGACTATATTTAAGTCTTTGTAGCAAAAAAATGAAGGCTGATTTTAAATGCTGAATCACACATGTTTTTGAATGTTTCCACAGCACTATGACCAGTCAAAGTTTTTCAGTCAAGTGATGGACATCCTCAATATGGTTTTTACCGGCCTTTTCACTGTGGAGATGATCATTAAACTGATGGCTCTTAGACTAAGGGTCAGTCTTTTCACTTGTATATGATTATCAATATGTGTTTGCTTGCTCCTACATTCATTTAAGCATGCCTAAAATATGTATTCTATTCTCAATGTGTAGTTGACTTTTTTAATATTTCATTGTTTTTCAGCATTATTTTGTGGATGCATGGAACTCTTTTGATGCGCTGATTGTTGTTGGAAGTGTGGTGGACATTGTGGTCACAGAGTTCAGCGTGAGTTCTTGTTTTTATATGTAAACAAAAAGAATTATAACTGATATTACAGCTAAACTAGCACAGGCTGCTCAGAAAAACTGCTGTTTTTGACTAGTAAATTTGTTTACATTTTATTTTTCCCAATTGTTCTTGATAGTAAATTTAACTTTGTTTTAATTCAGACATCACAATATGATCATGTATTTCTTACTGAGTGTTTTAGTATTTTTGCATTGATTTTTCTCATAGGGATTGTAAATAAAAACGTTTTTAAACAATGCACCAAAACCAAAGGTCAATCACAATATTACAAATATTACATAATTGGACAAAACATTTTAATGAGAAGTACAAACCCATAAAACATTGAGAACTACAAAACTTCATTTAAAGTTGTTGGTTACATCTATAGAGACCATGTTTTTTCCAAGTATGGATATATTGAAATATTTAAGTATTTTGAGAGGGAGACGATGTCCATTACACCATAAGTGGTGCTTAATGGCAATGGGTGGAGCTAAATTCTAATTTGTAACATGTTACTCACTTCAGCTCTCTGATTGATGTAATTTTCTGTACAGCCTTATGGGTAATGTAGTTTATCTGCAAACTTTCTATTATTAAACACAATTGTTTAGAAAACCAATCAAATGAATGTAACATATATAGTCAAATAGCAATTGATTTGTTATTCCTAAAGATCTTTTGTCTGTTTTTCTCTCTTAGAGCTCAGAGGACAGTTCTCGTGTATCCATTACATTCTTCCGCCTGTTTCGTGTGATGCGATTGGTTAAGCTGCTCAGCAAGGGAGAAGGCATTCGTACACTGCTCTGGACCTTTGTGAAATCACTCCAGGTCAGGAAATAATGATTACAAATGTCTTTCTCATATTGTTGGAAAGTGTCTAAATCTGATGGATTGTTCCTTTTGTCCCTCAGGCCCTGCCGTATGTAGCTCTTTTGATCGCGATGATTTTCTTCATATATGCTGTGATTGGAATGCAGGTAATGGAGAATAGAAAAATGTATTTATTCTTTTATATATATATATATATATATATATATATATATATATATATATATATATATATATATATATATATATATATAGCTATTGGGGGAAAATCTGCTTTTGAACATTTGAACCATTGAAACCAATTCTCAGTTCTTTGGATTTAGTAGATTTAACAGGTGTAAGTTTGAGTAAAATGTTAATATGTGTTTTATTCTATTATATGATTATATTGCCTTGTCACTTAGAAAATTGTTTTTCAGAAAACGTCAACTGGTCAAAATAAAATAAAAGGATTTTATTTGTTGACTTTTGTCTAAAAATAAATAAAAAGGCCCCTTTTAGGGTATTGTATTTAGTACAATAAAAGCAATATAATGTTTTATTAATATCACATGAGTAGCAGTGTGATGTGGCTGTATATCGGCTCTGGTGGCAGGCGTGCATTTGGACAAGGCCGCAGGCCGAGTGCCTTAGTGCCCCAACAGTGACGATATACAGCCACATCGCACTGCGACGAGAGTGATATTGCATTTATACAACAGCTCAATGGCATAATCGTGTATATAAAAAATATCAAACACGAGAGTCTAAAAACCCTTTTGTATGAGGAACTATTTACTCAACCATTTCTTCACATCTGCAGACATCAGCTAAAACCGTTGCTCATTCACAAGCGTCACTTCAGAGCTAATATTTGAATGATTCTCTAACGTAATGTCCGAAGTGATTACAAGTTTTGCTGAGATTTTAAGATTATAAGGCTGAACGGCATGAAATGCCATCAGTCTACAGAGATTTCCCAGTATTTCTCTGTTGCAATCAGGAGATCACAATATTAGTATGGTAAAATACAGCACTACAACATTCAAAAGTGAGAGATTGACTTAGAAAGTCATTTACCTGTTTAATAGAAAGCCAAAAGCACTAGAAAAGCACAAAAAAAGCCTCAAAAGTACATTATGTTGTACAACAGCAGCATTACTTGTCAAACTGTAGAGTGTCCTCTGCTTGTCGCTGTATGTGGGCGGAGTACTATCAGAACAAAAAATAAATGAACAATGCGATTTCTCTTTTTGTCAGACATTTGGCAAGATCGCCATGCAAGACCATACGCAAATCAACAGGAACAACAATTTTCAGACCTTCCCACAGGCTGTGCTGCTGCTTTTCAGGTGAGAAAGTGTGTTTTCTGTACAACACAGTGTTGCCATGAAATGAATGAGCTCATATCTTCAATGCAAGTGGTTTGGGATAAAGCTGTCTGTCAAATGCATAAATGTAATGTCTGCACTCTTTCTCTTCAGGTGTGCTACAGGTGAAGCATGGCAGGAGATCATGTTGGCCAGTCTACCAGGAAAGCGCTGTGACGCAGAGTCAGATTTCGAGCCTGGTGAAGAATTTTCCTGTGGCAGCAACATTGCTATTGTCTACTTCATCAGTTTCTTTATGCTCTGCGCCTTCCTGGTAATTATTGTTGTTTAATTTGGTTTTTCCCTTTTAACTTTTGTCATTAATTTACTATCCAGCTGCAAAATGTCCAATCTTTTATTGCAAATTTATGTGTTTAAGCATACATTTTATGAAAAAATTTATTTTTGGTTAAAGATTACATGACTCATTTTGGTTTTTACATTCATTTAAATTTGCAAATGTTAATACAAAATCTGTTTTTGTGACTCCAAAATATATCATTCAGTGTAACATATAGTAATGTAAAAAATGGATCACCATACTTAATCTGTCCAGTACTTTTTAAAATATGCTAAATAATAAATGCTCATGCTTAATTGAATTTAAAATTTAAGTTAAGTCATCAAATGAGTCTTGTTCTAAATATGCCTGACAAGATTTTTTGGCTGTCATTGCACTGAATGACAAATCATGGGGGAATTTTTATCCATTTCTTCCTGGCAGATAAGAAAAAATCATAGAAAAAATTACAGCTAGTAAGTGCTGTGCAGGTAAACCTCACTTCTCTGACCTCTAGAGGTGGTCTAGCGACAGATGCTGGAGGCCATGGTCTTTAGCCTCCTTGTTAGAGCAACTGACTCTTATGCGGAAGGTCGTTGGTTCTATCCCAGCTCGGAGCAGGTTGGGTGGTGTAGGACCAGGATGTTTACACAGGCCATGATGTTACTATAATTTGCATGGTTACCTGCAAATGTTTGTTGTGCCTTCTCAGATTATTAATCTGTTTGTCGCCGTCATTATGGATAATTTCGACTACCTGACTCGTGATTGGTCAATTCTTGGCCCACATCACCTGGATGAGTTTAAAAGAATCTGGTCAGAGTACGACCCAGAAGCCAAGTAAGACTATCAGTTTCTCTTAAACTTTTTAATCTATTTAAACCAGAAGCGTCTTCAAATGTGTGTTGTTTACCAGGGGTCGTATTAAGCACTTGGATGTAGTGGCTTTGCTCAGGAGGATCCAGCCACCGCTTGGATTTGGGAAGCTCTGTCCTCATCGTGTGGCCTGCAAGGTACAGACACGCATACACAGAGTCATTTGCTATGATTTCTCTTTCTATTTTTTCCTCTCTTACTTTGCTTCTGTCTGCTGTTGGCAGAGGCTGGTGGCCATGAACATGCCCCTGAACGCTGACGGTACGGTGACCTTCAACGCCACCCTGTTCGCCCTGGTCAGAACTGCCCTGAAAATAAAAACTGATGGTCTGTTTGGGCAAACACACACTCACATGCTGCATATTCATGCACATCACCACCGTTTTAGCTAGAGATGATTCAAATGAAAATGTGCTTTGCATATAAATTATTCAAAACAAACTAAAATGTGACCATAGAATATTACTAGGTTGTAAAAGCTTTTCAAATAGTGACAGGTTAATAACACAATTTGCATTTACACCAAACCAAGGTTGACTTGGTCTTGCAGTAGGTACCTGTGAAATCTGATGTGGCTGTAATGTGTTTTTTTTAGGGAACCCGGATCAAGAGAACGAAGAGTTGAGAATTATTATTAAAAAGATCTGGAAGAGAACAAAACCTAAAGTGCTGGATGAGGTTATTCCTCCCCCTGCTGGTGAGTTTTTTTTTTCTGGATTCTGTTTACTGTAGGTACTCACAGAAACCCTCTTTCTATAAAAAAAAAGATAGAGAGAGTTTTAAACATAAATCATTGAGCATGAATCATTTGACGGCATATTCAATGTAAAGATCATAGTGTAGCTTCAAAATACTAGTTAAATGTCTTTTCTGTATCCTGTAAATGTTGCCATTTTCTTCAAACCTCTGCAGGATATTTTTCTTCATATGAAATGGAATACAATTTTGTGTAGTGGGTGTCTTGTTTATAACTGAAAGACAGTTTGTTATCTTGTGCTTGTGAACATATTTACTTAGAATTGATATATATATATATTTAAAAAAATAAGTGTAGTACTAATTTAGTAAAGCATTACTTAGTATTAATTCCATTTAAAAGTTAATTCTCAGAAAACACATCAAAATTGGTTTCATTTGCATCATTCTGTTACAGAGGAGGAAGTGACAGTGGGTAAATTCTACGCTACGTTCCTGATCCAGGACTATTTCAGGAAGTTCCGGAAAAGGAAGGAGAAAGTGGGTCTTGAAGAAGAAGGGAATGGAAACCCTACTGCTCTACAGGTAGATTTCTATCCCAGTTTCTGCACTCAATTCCTGCAGGGTCATTTCAATTACATCTGGACACAGTAATACCACTGCACACATTTTAAGTCCAACACTTGCACTGATTAAACACAAAGTCAAACCAGTTCTTCATCAAGTAATGGGCTCATGCATATCCCACGCTGAGAGATGATCTGCTGGAGCAGACAAAAGTTTCTGCTGTAGAGCTGTGATCTTGGCAGTCTTTATGCCCACTATCACCTTACACTCTCTCTGATTATTATTCTCTGTGGGAGAGCTGTCACTGATAGGTTGAGGTTACATGTGTGGGTTTGTATCCATGCTGCATTCATTTCATCATTCTTACAGTCAGACCCGGCCACAAGGACTTTTTTTTGTCTAAAACATCTAATCCGTCATTTCCAGTGAAATCCATGGAAACAGCACTATTACTATTTCTCTTGTTGCTCTACATGACTTTACAGTAAATGATCAATTCTTAGGTTTAAAACCTCAGCTTATTTACAAAATCAAGGACTTACATCAGTTTAATGGTGAGGTTATATGTGTAGACTTATAAAATGTGTTTAATGTGCTCCCCATTGTGTTGGATTGTCAATGCAACCCTCTTCAACTAACCTTTCAACACTGATAGCAACACCGCAGGTGAAATGCCAGCACAGGCTTCCAGTATCCGTAGTTTTAGGTGCTGCACATCTTGCATCTTCGCACCATAGACAACAAAGATAGTGGGGCCATTCTTCATCAATGGAAATCTCAAGGCCACTGTATATTTGAAATTGCTACATGATGTGTTTCCCTCTTTATGCACTGAAGCTGGCATGTTCCCTGAGTTTTTCCAGCAAGATGGTGCACCACCACATTATGGGTGTCAGGTCCGAGCATTCCTAGATGAACTGAAAATGTTTCCTGAAAAGTGGATTGGTCTTCGTGGGCCAGTTGAATGGCCCCCAAGGTCTCCCTATCTGACCCCCTTCTACTTTTATCTTTGGGGTCATCTGAAGGCAATTTTCTATGGTGTGAAGAATGAAGATGCAAGATGTGCAGCACCTGAAACTACGGATACTTGAAGCCTGTGCTGGCATTTCTCCTGCACATTTCTCCCACACTATCAGTGTGTGAAGCAGGCCCGTGCATAGACCGTCCAAAGGGCATGTGCAGGATAAATTTTTGGAAGAGCGGGGGGGAGGGGGTGGGGGAATTGGTGCAGATCTGCAGAGTGGATGCGCGCGTACTGAAGAGCGGTGTTATCGCGCGCGTACTGATCAGCTGTGTTGTCGCGCGCCTACTGAAGGGCGGGACCGAAGGTGTGCCGCGTCGCGGGGGCACTTTTGATCATTTTGGAAGCGCACTTTCTATCCAAGACTAAAAAGGGCACGTGCACTGCACAGGTTGGGCCCTATGTGTGCACGTGCCTGGTGTGAAGAGTGGGAGAGGAGGGTTGCAATGACAATCCAACACAATGGGCAGCACATTGAACACATTTTATAAGTGGTCAGAAATAAATAACTCATGAAAGAATAAAGTTAAGTTAAAACCAAGCACATCATTGTTTTTCTTTTGAAATTCCCAATAAGTTTGATTTGTCAAATGACCCTCTTCGCATTAAAAAAACAAAAGTTGGATACCAGATGGTCGACTTCAAAATGGCCACCATGTTCACCACCCGACTTGAAAAGTTTGCCCCCTTATATTTACTAATGTGCCACAAACAGGACGTTAATATCACCAACCATTCCCATTTTATTAAGGTGTGTTCATATAAATGGCCCACCCCGTAGAATGACGATAAATTGATCCAGCTCTGAATACGATATAGCAAAGTGCAGAATATAAAGACAGTTTGTGGTGGATTGTTAAGAACCACTGCTGTATCCTAATTTATGCTGGTTTAAATTTTCTCCAAATTATTTTTATTTTTTATTATTATTATTTATTTATTTTTTTTGGTAAAAATGCCTAAAGCTTTGACATACTACTTGTCTCTGATCAGGATGAATTTATTTCAGTGGACACCATTTATCCTCTTTCTTTTTTTTTAAAGAGAGGAGTACAAGCATCACTGAATGAAGATTCCTTTTTGTATTATTTTGTGTTCTTTTTTTCACAATGGATTATTTAGTACACACCAGACAAATTTTTTAGTATCGTAAATAGGAAAACTGCATAGGAATTTATTTTACTCAGTGGACAAAGACAAGTAGAATAAAAGCAGCACATATTTCATCCTGAAAAAAGCACTATTGCTCACAATCCAGGTGGGACAAAAACCAACAATCGTCTGGTCTAAGCTACACTGCAAAAATGCTTTTCTTACTTTTTTTTTTTCTAGTTTCTTGTCCAAATAGCTAACAATTCCTAAATCAAGAAGCATTTTCTAGACAAGCAAAAAATATTGTCTTGTTTTAAGAAATAATATGCTGCAATGAAGTTTTTCCTTAAAAGAACCTAAATAATTTGCCATGAGGGTAAGCAAAATAATCCTGTTTTTCATTTTGACATTTTTTTGCTCACCCCATTGGTAGATTATTTTGCTTGTTTTAAGTAAAAACTCATTTTTTGACATATTATAATACTTTTTGTTTGTAACAACTTACAACTTATGCAGTGCTGTCTTAGAGGTAATTTTAAGTGAAGTTTATTTATAAACAAATTTCGAGAGGAGCACGTGCTTATGAATGACCGCGGCTGGTCCTGCATTTGCTAATGCATGATTCACCAATCAGATGATTCCTAAATCACAATAAATAACCAGAGCATCTTACCTTAGACATCTTTGTCTTGAGGAATCACCCTTCCAACCCCTACTCCTCCCCTTTTCCTTGATAGGGCGGCACGGCGGCCCAGTGGTTAACCCTGTTGCGTCACATCAAGAATATCACTGGTTCAAGTCTTTACCTGGCCAGTTAACATTTCTGTGTGGAGGTTACATCTTCTCCCCGTGCATGCATTGGTTTCCCTTGGGTTCTCCGGTTTCCTCCTACAGACCAAAGTCGTGCGTCTTAAATAAATTGACCAAAACCAAATCGGCACCATAGATAAGCTTTTAATCAGGAGTATATCTATTCATAGCAATTCCTATATGCCATTCACCATAAAAAACCAGGGGAGTTCTCGAGACCTACCTTAGCTCAAACTCCCCTCTCGCCCTGCAAACGGGAGGAAGCCCCGGGCTCGAGGATCTTATAAGCTCAGAGTTCTCTCTCGGGACAGCATGCCAAACATGCTTTATAATCAATCATCAGCTAAGTGTGAACTCCTGAAACTAAATAAGACTTCATCCATTTAACTGCTAGGCCACCATTTATAATATTTTTTCTCTTATAAAATTTTTTCTGGAAACTAAAACCTAATTGCATTTATTTTGTAATTCAGCTGTATGGTGAGCTGCATATATACTGTGATTCCTCTCTCTTTCCGCGTGCATCTGTGTCAGGCGGGGCTGCGAACTCTGCAGGAACTGGGGCCAGAAATGAGACTGGCCATGAACGAAGATCTGGAGGAGGAAGAGGAGGGTCTGGACGAGGAGCAAGAGGAGGATGATGCTCATTATAAGGTGCCCATCACATCAGGATTTTGTTATGTAAAGCACAAGAATTAATTAGTGTGGTTATGTTTTTAAAGAAGTATTTCATAACCAAATAATCAGAGACAGGAGAATTAGGCCATCATTCAGAGTAATGAGGAACTTCTTAGTCTATAGAGAACGAAGGTCATTTCAGTACCAGATTTAGTCTCACAGTAACATACAGTATCAGGTAATAAATAGAGCTTCTGGCTGAGGATGTTTAGTGTTTGTGATGTGGCTTAGTCAAGTAAAGTAATTTATGAGACAAAGCCTAATTTTTGCGTCACAGCTGTCAGTTTGTATCCATTCATTCATTCATTTTCTTGTCGGCTTAGTCCCTTTATTAATCCGGGGTCACCACAGCGGAATGAACCACCAACTTATCCAGCAAGTTTTTTTACGCAGTGAATGCCTTTCCAGCCACAACCCATCTCTGGGAAGCATCCACACACACATTCACACACACACTCATACTCTACGGACCTACCCAATTCACCTGTACTTTGGACTGTGGGGGAAAACGGAGCACCCGGAGGAAACCCACGCGAAGGCAGGGAGAACATGCAAACTTCACACAGAAACGCCAACTGAGCCGAGGTTCGAACCAGCGACCCAGCGACCTTCTTGCTGTGAGGCGACAGCACTACCTACTGCGCCACTGCCTCGCCCAGTTTGTATCCATAATGACCATAAACAAAAATGTAAAAGAACTGTAAAACCTGTTTTTGGCCATTCAATTACATGTCAAAAGTCCAGACTTTTGCAGATTTTTGAAAATGGTACCAATCTCAAATACTTGGCATTCATTTGCATATCATGTGTTCATTATATAGGCGTACTGTATGGAGGTATGCTTGAGATTTTGCATGAAATTTGCAGGATTTTTTGCTTCTTTGTTGATTAATGCCATCATTGCCAACCACTGAATTGGCATAAAAGTACAAAGTATTAGTTATAGTATTGCAGATCATCATGAAAACATAGTTATGCGTATGTACATCTTTTCAAATACACAAAGAAAGCACTTATGTTTTTAATTCATCCTTGCCATATAATTGTTCCTGTAGCCACACAAAAGTCTACAACCCGGGTGGGACTTGAACCCACAATCCCCAGATCCGAAGGCTGATGCCTTATCTATTAGACCACTGGACCTATTTTATTGACAAACCCTGTTTCAGTATAACTTAATCAAATGTCATTTAATATGCACATTGGCTGCTCAGGAAACAATATTTGGCTTATTACAAAATAATAAGTGATACTATCCACAAACAGTAATGTAAATCTAAATATGGAATATTTAGTTGTTGCATTATGTATACAAATTTTATTTGAATAAAAAATTTATGACACTTTTTTTTCTCTCTCTATCACTTTGCTGTTCTTTTAGAATGAAAATGGCTACGCGCACACTGAGCCCTTAAGCAGAAGCCGGCGCTCCTCTTTGGCCACTACTCCCATCGGTGCCCCTGTCCCTGTCCCAGGAGATGGCATCCTGAATGGGGGACTGGGACGTAGGAGCTCTCTTGCAAAAACACCAAATGGGAACGGAGCTCTGGAGAACGAGAACTTCAGGAGAAGAGACAGCATGCGCTCCTCTATTCATTACCAACACAAGAATGGTGTGATTGACCAACTGCCCAAGAGGTAGATACATCTTTTTTGTACATTTTCTTTTTATTTTAAATATTAGTAATGTATTTTTAATATGTTTGTTTGTTTGTTCAACAGACCATCATACTACAAATACCCAAGGTAAGCATTCAGCACAGCACAGCATCACCCAGCTCTCTCTGTTCCTGTCTCCTGCTGACTGCCGCTTTCCTCTTTTCCCCTCAGGAGAGACTCCAGGGACAGATTCTCCTCTCCTCTTTCTCGGAGAGAGGAAGGTGGTGAGTACCCTGGAGAGCAGCGCTTCTATGGAAAAGACGAGGACAGCGAGAGTGTCATCTCGAGAGAAAGGTACCCCAAAAAACCTCACTTGTGCATAAATTAATGAACTCAATATTTCATTTAAAGGGGTCCTACTATACTTTTTACATTAACCAAATAAAACCATATAAAAGGTGTTTAAATGACAGGACTTTAAGAGACATGTTTTGCAGATTTTTTTGTTTGTTGTTGTCAGTAATAAAAACCATGAGCTGCAAAGGTACAGCACACTTGTAGAAAAGGGGAGGTTTGCTGTTCATTTTAATATACCTAGCAAAAATGCCTAGTAGGACCCTGTTAACTCTTAAAAACATGAATTTGTCACCAGTCTTTATTATATAACTGTCTTTAGAGACCTTGATCAATAAATCAAACACAGATGGATCTCTCTATGTACTGTAATAGCATAAAACTCTAATAATAATTAAATAACAATCACAAAAGAAAAAAAAGAGGATTTCATTTCCTGTAGGAACTTTAAATAGTTTGATCCAAGTTACTGATTTTACCATGACTGTGTTCTTCTGCTATACATGCAGCATCTTGATGAATTCACTGAAACTTGAAATTTTGAACACTGAGAGCTTCACTTGATCCTCCAACAAGTGACAGTGACATTTATTTGTTACTCTGGAAAGACAAATCCAATCTTAAGTTGCACATGTATATTTTTGGCAATTGCCAAACAAATCTTGTACTGTATGAGTCAAGAATCATTCGAATATTAACTAAATATCATGTTCCATTAATATATTTAATTTCTAATATAATATTTGATTCGAATATATTTGATTGGTGATGTGCATTGCTAAGAACTTAATTTGGACAACTTTAAAAACGATTTTCTTAATATTTAATTGTAATTTAACCCTAAGATTAAAGATTTGTCATGTAGTTGTATCATGGCCTGATATTGTCGTACCCTAACAAACAGACAAACCATGCATCAGTGGGAAAGCTTATTTATACAGCTTTTAGATGATATATAAATGTCAAATAAAAAAATAAAAGATCCTTATGATTTTGTGGTCCAGAGTCTCATATTTGATTGTGCACCATCATTAAAGCCTATAGTAATTAATGCCTATGGTAATTATGCCATAAATGTCACACCATTACACTTTTTTTAATGTATGTTTAAATTGTTTCATTATGTTTGAATGATTTTGTGTATGTTCAGGGTATCCGTGGGGTCTTAAAAAGTCTTAAAATTTCTTAAATCTCAAAATCTACAGTTTAGGCCTTAAAAAGTCTAAGAATTACTGAAATGTTGTGTTGTAGATCTTAAATCTTTTATTAACTGGTCTTAATTTTTCTTTGTTCATGTATTGCAACCCAATCTGGCCATTAACACCCATACAATCATCAATCATCATCTATCTCAATAAATTTTTACTTTTAAACTTTTATCTAAAAATAGCATTTAATTACTTTCCATACAGTAACATTTGCTTAAAAGTTTTCCATTTATTTATTGTGGAGGATACTGACCTGAACCATATTTTTTTTAATTAATTTATTATTATTGTGGACTGAAGTAGCTGACAGTTATGTTTTGTTCTATTCTTGGTAAGGGTTATAGGGTTTGTAAATGGATATATTTTAAAAATAATTAAAAAAATATTAAAACTAAATTATTATTATCATTGTATCCTTAAATGTATTCCATTTGAATCATTTTTTGATAACGGGTAATTCGAAAAAAATCCTTAGCAAGGTCTTAAAAAGTCTTACATTTAATTTGGTGAAACTTGCAGAAACCCGATGATAAAGGATTTAAAGCATATGACGAAAACACAATATCCATATTAAAAATGTTTTCCATCAGGCATGGTTATCCAGAGGACAGCACAATTTTCCAAGGACATAGAGACATGTATGATGGACACTCTATGAGACACCCTGTCTATGGAAATCATTATGGAAACAGTTATGGAGATGGCAGAAGAACAGCACGGAGACGCCTCCTGCCAGCAACACCTACAGGTAAAATCAAGTATTGATAATTTTGCTTGTAGGCAAAGGTATAACAAGTTTTATCTTTCTGTTTCACTCCATATTTTCTTTATGTTTTAGGGAGAAAGGCTTCGTTTAACATACAGTGTTTAAGAAGGCAAGGCAGCAGCGATGATCTGCCCATTCCAGGAACCTATCATCAGAACTCGCCGCCCTGCAGAGCACGCTCACAGGTAACATCACCAAATGATATATAAAACAGTCTATGGCACACTACTTAAGAAGATTACATCTGTTTCACAAAATGCACATATGACAATGACAATTTATTTATATAGCACAATTAAAACAACCCAAGTTGACCAATGTGCTTCACAATAATTAAAAAACCATGAACAGCAAGAATAAGTCAAAGACAAAAGCAAGTTTAAAAAATTAAATACAATGAATAAGAATGATATTCAGTGTGTCAACATAGCCAGTCATTATTAGTAAAAATTAAATAATTATAGTTTTTATAATCAGACTTGATAAAAACAGTCTGCAGAAACACTTTGATTGACATTCTTCCTTAGGGCCCTATCATACACCCGGCGCAGTGTGGCGCAAGGCATAATGCAGTAGTCTTTTGGTAGTTTAAGCTTGGCGCAAGAGTCGTTTTGAGGCTTTGCGCTACGCTATTTAAAGAGCAAATGCATTAGCGTTCATTTGTGCGCACATAGGCGTTCTGGTCTAAAAAGGAAGGCGTTCTGAGGCGGACCGCTGGCGCGTTGCTATTTTGAGAAACTATAATAGATTTTTCATTAGACCAAAACTAACCCGGTCTAAACTCCGGCGCAGAGTTGCGCCTCGCTTACACACTGCTTAATACACACAAGAGAGCAATAGGCAAATATCTTTACATATGAAAAGTGTAAATATTATGGATATTTAGGATATAATAAGAATAGATATAGAATATAAATATAAAGGATTAAAATATTACAAAACATATTATTTTCTAGCCTACATAAATATGAAAAATCACTACTTTTATGCCTTCTTCATCTCGGGAGGCTTTTTTAGTTCATTCATAACAATTTGCTTTTGTATAATGTTATTATTATTAGCAGTATTATTTATAATATCCATATTTATATTTGTTTTTATTAAAAACAAGCTTAGATTTGCCCACCTGTCAGGTTTTAGACCATATGGGGCAAAGCATGTGTTTTAGTATAGAACTCAGGTTTTTGAGCACATTTTGCTATTATTATTCATTTATTCGTTTGCTGGAAATTAGAACTGAATTTAGAAATAGTTTTGAAACTAATATTTGCACTTAACAAACAAAAGTAATTATTTATAGACTAATTGATGTCTGTGCGTAAAGGTTTCCCTATCCAAGAGCGAAAGTGAAAGTAGTTCCATTATCTCTCATTTTAACGCAGTAGATGCTCTGTTTAACAGTTTTCTGTTAAAAACTGTTAATTGTTATCTGTTTGCTTGTGAAATGCTCATTTTTTTCCACTTAGACTTACTTTGCGTCCTGTAAATAGCGAATGCGCTCTTGTCGCGACGCACCTGACTCTTAAAGGGAATGGAAGATGAGACTGTAATTGGTTTATTCTTAAAACACACCTATAACTCATTAAGAAAATAAACTCAACCCTTTTAGACCATGCGCCGAAGCGCAAGGCAGATTTCCCGTCCTTAAATTAGCAAAAACGCGTCCTGACACGCCCTGAAAGCGTTTGCGCCCTGCGTTTTGCGCTTCGTGCATGGACCGTCAAAATAGAGCCGTTAGTATTTGTCATCAGAGTTAAAAAACTCTCCCTCATTAGCATAAACGGCCCTAAGTGAGAAGCAGCTGTCCGCCATTATAGTTTTTACCTGATAATGTCAGTATCTAGGAGATTATAAATGTATAATTTTAGGATGCACAAATAAACACTGTAGTCTCCATAGGCTGCCTTCTTTTCACATTTTCAGTTTTTCACAGAGAACATTTTAGTCCTGTTCTTAATTTGCCGCTATGCTGACACGCAGGCATTTGTAGCTCCGCCCTATTTTGAAAAGAGCACAATCTTATTTGAATTTAAAGAGACAGTCACCAAAAAAGCGTCATTCAAATCATGTGTATGAAAGCATTTTGGCTTCCCTGTAAAATATAATGATGAAAAAGTTGTGGTGGGACCTAAATACTTTCTTAGGTTATTAATTAAAAGTGTTTTTGCCATTGGTTTGGCATGCATTAATGCATTCAGTGTAAAGCTGCACAATCAAACAGTAAAAGATCGGGATCTCAATTCAAACCCACGCAACAAGGATATTAAATGATAGTGATTTGCATATGTTTATTAATGCCTCGAAGTGCTGCATTCGAATCTGTGTTTGATCAAGAGAGATTCAGTTTTTACGATTTTTCAGGTAGTTACCAACAATTAAATAACACAGAAGTACTGGGAGAACGGTTTATAGTTTAGATATAAACACTGATGTTTATGATAAAGATTAAAATCACAGTTTAATGGAACTTGTCGCTTGTGAATATTGTAGCAATTACATTGTGAAAACAATAGATGGCGACAAACATGTGTGAATTGTTGAATATGATTGAAAATAAATATGATATGTTGCACAAGATGTTAGATTTTTATATTTAGAAATACAATGATCAGCAACAATAGCAAAGATCATTTTTCTTATTAGATATTTTCTTTTTTTAGCTGAAAAAAAAACAGCAGTTTTTTTTATTGATTTTTATTTTTACTCAGATTACAGGTTCTACACAGTCATATTTTTGTATAAATAGAAAGCAATTGACATTTTGTCACCTTAGAATTATAAGGTTTTATCTGACATTTTTGTCAAAAATGATTTATTGACATATTCTCATTAAATGACACCTTATATGCATTATGGGATGTTTTTAATAAGTTGTTTACATTTTAGGACCTTTTATTAAAAAACAAAACAAATGCCACACACATACTGTTTGCTATGGAATGCAAAAACTTTGAAGCTCAATATCTCAAAATCATTCAGAACATAGATAGAACCTTATAATTCCATGGCTCCCTTTTGTTGTCTGATCATTGAATTCAAAACTGTAGTGTGATCTTTCTGTGATAAATGTCCTGACCAGGAACTTGGATCTTTTTTTCCATATGATGTGGGAATGTAGAAAAATACAAAAGTTTTGGAATGAGGTCTGTGTTATGTTGTCTAAAATTATTGAATATCTGTATCAGTGAATCCTTCCATTTTATTACTGAGTGATGATTCTATTCTGAACCTTACCAAGCTACAAAAAGCTGTTGGGCTAGCTGACTTAACTACTAGCCCAACATTGGCTGCCTCCACATAATTTGGACACATATTAGTGGTTGGTAAAACTTCAGGACATTATAATGTTAGAATTATCCACAACCCGAGTGAACTTGGTACAAATGAGTACATTAAACATCTGGACTAACATCAGTTACTGACAAAATCTCCATGTTTATTGCACAAAGCATTGATCAGAATCCAGAATGATTGCCTTAATTTGTATAATTGATACTTGATAGTGTGTTTTTGTTTTTTCTTTTCCGTTAACTACTATTTATTGGATACCCCAGTTTCAAGAGAGGGGTATGGGGGTGTTTGAATTGATTTATTTCATTATATTGTTTTTTTCAGCCTGTATGTCTTGTTAACAATTAATCAAAAAAAGTAGTGTGATCCGAACCATGAGATTCATGATCCGTTACACCACTAGTTGTAAAGAATTATTTGTGGAGTATTTTGAGCTGAAACTTTACATACACACTACACTACAGACATCAGAGACTTATTTTACATGTTGTGAAAAGGAGTGGAACAGGTCTCCTTTAATATCTGCGTCTCATGAAACAAAATAAGTGCTGGAAGGAGAACATTATTAACAACACTTTTACCTTTAATCCAGCACCTCAGCTTACAGTTCTGAGTACGTCTGAGTTCTCATACATCTTGTCTTTGAACTATCTATTTGATCTGTGCTTTCTGAACTCTTCTGTTCTGTCTCTCTCAGGGATACAGCAGTTATGATTCCCGTCGCAGCAGTGCTCGATCATCCACCGGTTCGACAGCGTCCTGGGCAAACACAGGTCCTCGACGGGGTCGCCTCCTCTACGCTCCTCTTATCCTGGTAGAGGAGGAGGGAGCAGCAGGAGCTGGGGGTGTCGGCATCTGGGACAAAAAACCCGGTGGCGTCGGAGTGCCTGCATCAGTTCGGCATCCTGGCTCAGGATGGTACTCAGGACCCTCTGCTGGTGGAGGGGGGCAGCCATACAGAGCCTACACCACCCTCAGAGTCCCGACACAACTCAGTCCTCATTACAGCGAGAAGAGAGGCAGCGCCGACAGCCTGGTGGAAGCGGTATGAGCAGAGAGCATCAATATTACAGAAGCATAATAGCGTATTACTAGTGAAACATTAGAGCAGCATCAGGGGACCATTACAGTGGTAGCACAGCAACTTTACAAGCACACACTGGAGATCTTCTGATTAATAAAGCAGCTCTTGGTGGAAATTATATTATGTTATGAATGTTTTATTAATTATATTATAATTATATTATAATTATATTATAATATTATATTATATTATATTATATGATGAATAATCTATATATATATATATTTATATTTATATATATATATATATATATAAATAATTTAATGTCTATATATCTAAATAATTTATTTTAAAACAACTTTAACAAGTCAGTTGGTCATTCTTACCTGCTTCAGAACCGTTCTTTTGCATCTAATATGCGGCCTGTATGCAGGAATCAGCATAACATCTGAGTTGTTGTGCCTAATGGTTTGTGCCAAAAATATTAATAATAATATTACACTTTATTTTATGTAGCTCCTTTAAAAATAGCATCTTAAATCACTTTACAAACATGTAAAAAGTACAGAAGTAAAAGATACATGCAAGGATACAGGCATGAATGACTAGACAAAATATTTAGTGTGTAAACAAGACCCAGCATGTTTCTCCCTCAACAAAGTGGAAATTCTGATGGAATTTAGGGAGTAATGTTTTGAGACTGATATGGCTAAAATCTACCACGACAATAAAAAGTCTATCAGGGTGAGTGTTTTGTAGCCCACTGTTGTCCTATATGAGTGCCTCGTTAGCTTTAGTGCTAGCGCTTGGAGGAATGTACACCCTGACTACAAATACAGTGGTGAACTCCTGTGGGAAATAAAAGGTCTGCGTTTAGCAGTCATAAACTCCACCAGTGACGGGCGGTAACTAGAGACCAGTAGAGAAGTCGTACAATATATTTTGTTGATGTAAACAGATCCCTCGCGCAAAAACACAGAATCTAGTGCCAATCTATATGGCAATGTCTGAAATTATGTTATTTAGCCATGTCTATGTTAAAACACTATACAGTGCTCAGCATATAGGAGTACACCCCCCACAAATCTCTCATTTAAGTTAATTTTTTGTAAAGAAGGCTTTACAATATTAGATTTGTGCATATACATTAGATTAGTCTGTACTGAAGCCAAATCTGAAGCTTTTCTAACAAAATAACTTACAATAATGTTTCAAAAATTAGTACAAACAAATTTATATGTTTGGGAAAATAGCAAAAATAGCAAAAATCAAGAGAAACAAAAATATCTACAATTTTGGTGAAACAGTTTGTATTTTTTTTTCGCATGAATTCGAATGTATTATCTTTCAGTTTAATAAATCAAAAAAATTAAGTTAATAAATTTTATTCAAATGCACCAATATATATTACCCATATTCACTGAGAAAATGGATAAAAAATATTAATTTAAAAATGGAGTGTACTCATATATGCTGAGCATTGTGTGTGTGTGTGTGTGTGTGTGTGTGTGTGTGTATGTATATGTATGATGTATGTGTGTGTGTATATATATATATATATATATATATATATAGATCTTAGTATAGAAAAGTAAAAAGACATAGATAAAAACCAATGTGTGAAAACAGGCCATTTTGGGAGGGTTTAAACTCCCTAATTAATGGTTGATCGCCCCTGAAGGATGTCAAAGACTGCTATATGTGTAGGGGAGTCTGGAAAATAGTTTATATGATATATAATATGAATCTGAAACAATAATATTATTAAATGAATGTATAAGTTGACCCTCCAAATGGTTCATACTATTGCCAATGCAAGATCGCGACACGCAGGGATTCAACTGAATGAAAATAATAATTCAGTGGTCTGATAGAGGCAGATCTAGCCCACTGATAGAAAGTTTTTATGTAGGTGTATCTACATATAGCCTAAAAACGATGTCAAATTAAACTATAGTGTGTATATTAATAGACAACTTTGCTCACAGATGGAAGTTTTACAATAAACAGTAAGTCCATTTTTTAGGATCATCCTTTTTTAATGCAAAATTCTTTAAAGAAATAATATTGTGTTCAAAAATTGGGACAAAATTTGTTGTTTTTTAACCCAGACATTTAATAATAACATATTCTAGAGCAGTAATCAGAATATTGTAATACCGTGGACATGCCTAATTCCAGAATCTAATAATTATCCATAAAAACACAAAAATAAGTTAATTGGATTCAAATATATTTATTTTTTCCCAGTAATGCATGAATATTACAGAAATTGCTGAAAAAACAGTACAATTCCCACCGTCCTGATAACCATTTTCTAAAGGCCGTTTCCACTGTCAAAAGGAACCTAAAAGCGAACCATACCGATCCACTTTTTGGGTACCCTGTTGAAAGGGTACCTAACATGACAAAAGGGTACCAAAAGGCGAAGTTAGACACGCAGCTGAACGCTATTCGCTCACAGTGATACATCACTAACTTATGCACAAGTCAGAAGAATGAATAAAATGGAAGCATCATTTTTAAATACAAAGCCAAGGCATTACATCATTATAATATATACATATAATAACGATCGTCTCGATGAACAGCCACAAAGCCAAAAAGAAGAGCAGAATCTACCATGTGCCCCTTAGTTGTTTACAAGGTCGTCTAAAGGTTGACTTTTTGAGCCGATGATAAGAACGCGCGCATGATTATTGAAGTGCTTCTGACATCCGATCCTTTCAGAAACTGACAAACGCGAGAGTGAAGTGCGAAAAAACAAAGGAAAAGCCCAAAAAGAAAAGAAAAGCAAATGATTCTTTCAGCCACCTAAGACATGAATAAACTGATATGTTTAGTCTTGTCTATTATCGTCGCCTTTTGGACTATTATGAACTCGAAATGACGGAATTAGTTTCTAACATGTGCTGGTGATGATTAAAGATACAGCTGAGAGGTTATGTGAATCGAACCGACCTGAACCGTACCGTACTGTACCACTCAGTGGAAATTAGTTGCTTAAACAAGTTCTTAAGGCTTCTAGTTCTCTGTTAATGCAACCGGCCCCATCTTTCTCTTTTTCTCTTCCTCAGGTCTTGATCTCTGAGGGCTTAGGTTTGTATGCCAAGGACCCAAAATTTGTAGCCTTTGCCAAGCGTGAGATTGCAGATGCCTGTCACATGACCATTGATGAAATGGAGAGCGCCGCAAGTGATCTCCTCAACCGAGGAGGCTCTGAGAAAAGCCAAAAGTTCATGAACCACACAGACACAGGGCTTGTATACAGTGACGAGGAGCCCATCAGGAGCCATGAGGAAGAGGAGCTGGCGGACGAAATGACCTGCGTTACATCTTTCTAAAAAACTGAATAAAGAGCCAATCAGGACAGCAGTTAAAAGACTCCCGACTGACCAATCACATGTTAATGCTGTGAAAGAAAGCGGCTCTGGCTTACCTTTCGTCTTTAAATGCAAATCACTGAAAAGACTCTTTTTATAAACTGCTGGAAACGTCAATTGTTTTGTAATATGTTTAAATGTGTTTTTATTCTGTTCTTTTTGTCTGTATGGTTTATTTTTAAGCATCATTTACAGAGGGAAATGCACAAACACAGTATTTTTAATTATTCAGTTGAATAATTTTAATAACGAAGAACCAAAATAATCTGAATCAACATTTTTGTCTTGCATTTTGTGTACATCTGTGTATTTTTTCCATTTTTTTCACAATAGGCTCCAGTTTGCTTAATCATCTTTGGATCTTGAAATGGATTGAGTCTACTCCATTTCCATCTTAAAATAGAAACATCATCTTGGAACAAATAGCAGACTGTTTAGGGGCAAAAAGATCCTACATTGTGCTGCGTTTACAAAGCCTGGCAGGAATTTCAAGTATTTTGGATTTTTTTTAAAGGTGAAACACAATTCATTGTACATTTGTTGTTGTTGTTGTTGTTGTTGTTTTTTTATATTTGTTGTTTTCATTTTTTAAATCCATTTCCTGCAGTTTCATAAAGTGATTGACTTTGAAACATTGCTGATATGCCAAGCCACTTTATTTTTTTCAGTTACTTTTGAATGATCATGATCCCCAAGATTGAGTGATCTGTTCATTAAGAGGACAGCGTGTCCCATTCATTCTGTGCATTTAATTAAAATGACTGAAAATCCGCTAAAAATAAATGACCACGCGATACAGATGGGATCACGTCCGTTCTACCACTTGTAATCACCAGAACTCTCTCCCTCCTTCTGCAATCAGTGTAAATATTAATAAAACTACCTAACATGTAATATTATATCTAAAGATTTGTATGTGAGATTGAATGAAAGTTTATTTATTAAAAATATGACTGATGTTTGTAAACAAATATAGATATCAAATGTTTTTGTGTGTTTTTGTATGGGGGTAGGGGTGCAAGAGATCTGCAGAGTGGATGGCAACATCAACAGCCTAAGGCAGTTGTCACCAAACTTGTTCCTGGGAGTCCAGTGTCCTGCAGATTTTAGCTCCAACCCTAATCAAACACACCTGAACAAGCTAATCATGGTCTTACTAGGTATACTTGAAACATACGGGCAGGTGTGTTGAGGCAAGTTGGAGCTAAACCCTGCAGGGACACCGGCCCTCCAGGACCGAGATTGGTGACCCCTGGCCTAAGGTATTAAGACATTTGTGCTGCCCATTACATTACAAACTACAGGAGAGGGCAAATTCTTCAGAAGGGTAGCGCTCCTTCTCATACTTCAGCCCCCACATCAAGGTTCCTGAAAACAAAGAAGGTCATGGTGCTTCAGGATTGGCCACCCCAGTTACCAGAGATGAACATTATTGAGCATGTCTGGGGTAAGATGGAGGAAGCATTGAAGATGAACCCATCTTGATAAACTCTGGGAGTCCTGCAAGAACGCTTTCTTTTCCATTCCAGATGACTCATTACTAAGTTATTTGAGTCATTGCAGAGATGGATGCAGTCCTCCAAGCTCATGAGAGTCATGTACACAATATTAATTGTATTTCCACTGCACCATGACTTTATATTCTATACTGCACATTATTTCTGTTAAGTGACAAGACTTCTGTCTATGCAGTCAGACCTTAGTGTCCTAATTAAATAATTAAATATCAAAATATGATCATATTTTATTTTGGTAAAATAAGTGTAATCTAGAGGCTTTTGCCTTTCATATAAGCCACTTCTGATACCTAATGATCAACTTACAGTTAAGTTATTATTTGTTGTTCCTAAAACTTGGATAGGCGTCAAGACTTTTGTCAGGTAGTGTAGTAGCTATGGTTTTTAAGGTGCGAAATTGAGCAATTTGTTAATCAGTTTAGAACTTGTAATAAAAACAAGGAAATGCTTAGGAAACAAATGGCAGGAGATAGATATAGAAAGGCACACGTTTATCTTTGCATGCGCACATCCTGGGTTTTTTATGTACATTTTTGTGTGTATAAGCTGAACTGATGCATTATATTTTGTAACTGGAACCCTTCAACATTGAGACCAGGCTGCTTTGCAACACGATGGCTTCAATTATAGTGGTGCATTGTGGGGGAGGACACTTTCTTTAGCCTTACTGGCCATTAAACACAACTGCTGCACCTCTTTATCTGGATCTATGAAAAATGTTCTACATCATTACATCTTTATGAAAGTTAAGCATTTCTTAACCTCATTTACAATAGTGAGGGATGCTGAAGTGCATGAGCTTTGCCACTGAGACGCTCTCATAACATGTACAGAAAACCTCTAATTAGTGTTTTCATTAGCAGTGAGAAGAACAAGACAGCTGCAGCGCTTTGGGCTTCAAAAACAGGAAGAAGAAAGTGTGGGGGGGGGTATGTTTTATTTTAACCTATATTATGATTGTGTTTTTTGTGCTTTTGGGTTCCTAAGACTCTACAAGACATTTTTATATTCAAAAATATATGTTCTATAGATCCCAAATGATATAGAGAATCTCTAGATCTCTTTTTATATATGAGCAATATTACACTCGTAGCAGTGTGATATGGCTGTATATCAGCACTGGTGGGAAGTGTGCGACCGAGTGTTTTGGCGTCCCAGGTCCCACCAGTGCTGATATACAGCCACATCACACTGCTACGAGTGTGATATTGCGTTTATGCAACAGTTTGACAGCATAATCATGTAAATAAAAAAAGAAGATATTGAATATCACTTACCTGTTTAATATTGATTTGATCAGCTGTAGTTTAAAAATTACGCTGTTTAACTTCTAAGGGCTTATTATGCGGTCACTGTCGCCATCTTGTGGATGGACAGCATCTTTGGTCTGCTTAATGACAGGCTAATGCCCACCCACGCGCTGTCTCTAAGAAACTATAAATACTTGAAAATAGGCTCTATCCTTGTAAATCAACTGCATAGCTGAAATCTAAACAACTACATTCTCAAAATTATGTTTTGTAACAGCTGCAATATTTGTCCAACTGTAGGGTGTCCTCTGCTTGTTGCTCTGTGTGGGCGGAGTAATGGGCCAATCACACCAAACTCACTTTTTGCATTGAGAGGTGCCTTTATTGATTGATTTACTAATTTGCGGGGCTTATGCACCCTGTGTGCCTCACATTTTAACTGCCTGTTGCGCCTTGTGTTTTTGCCCTTGTGTGCTGTGCGCTCACAGTTGAAAAAAGTTAACTCTGAGCGGAAAAAGCATGTTACGTCACTCGCATCTTTTTCATTCTCCAATCAAATGAAAGCAGAGGCACCTTCTATTGAGGTGCCTGCAGTATCTGTGTTGTCAAGAAAACAACGGAGACTTTTGAAGATTGAGGAGAGATTTGTGGTAGCTGTTTTGAGTTATCCGGAGCTGTATATGAATATTAAATCATGAATTCCACAATATTATTAAACAATATAATTATATTAATACCAACAGCAACACTCGCTCAATACCCAACTAATTCAGTCATTGCCTAGCGACATAAAAAAGCACACCACGTTTCTTTTTTTCTTGTCAACAAAAAAGGCAATGTGGTGCGCCACGCGTTTTTAGAACAGAAATGAGCGTAAGGTGTGATCGGCCCCTAATACACAAGAGTGAAGAGGTAGCACGAGTGCTGTTACTGGCAGAGTATTGCACAGATATCAGCCAATCAGAATCAAGAACCAGACAGAATCGTTGTATAAACAGATTTATAGAATGATGTTTTTAAATTGTTAACCATTGTGCATTGATAGAAAATATAATAATAATGTAGAGAATATATAGAAAAAAATAATATATATACAGAATATATATATATATACAGTATGGATAATTAACCGTATATTATTCATACCCTTGGCAAATTCTAAATTACTGTTTTTGTTCAAATGTAATAAAATTTATATTAAAAAAAGGTTTTTTCCACAATGTTGCCTCTTGTACATCATCTTTTGAATAAAATAAAAGAATAAAAGTAACTTCAGAATTTGCAAGTGGTATGAATAATTTTGGGCTTCACTTTATTTTATTTATATATATATATATATATATATATATATATATATATATATATATATATATATATATATATATATATATATATAAACTTCCTGTGAAATTGTATTTCTTTTTTAAATATTTCAGATAATAAAAGTGATATTTAATAAAGCAAAAACATCTCACAATTTTCATTTTTATTCCTCCATAAAATTATGTATACATATATATGAAAAAAAAATATATAGAATATTTTATGTCATTTCATTTCTTTATTTTTTATATTTGTAGCAAATTTCTTTTAGATTGCCTTTGGCTGGTAAAAATGTAAAGCAAATTGTAATGTTAAATAATTAATATAGATATAATCATTAGGCATATAAAACCTACAGACATCTCTTCATTTCTGAAATATTTTCATGTTAGCATGTCTCTTAATTAAACGAGTATTTATTTCCCCCCTCTAAATATAGTGTATGAGTCATCATTGTCAGTCCATCTCTGTATAGTTACTTTCCACAAGAACATTTAATTTAAACGTTCCTCAGTCTATGAAAGATCTTAATAAATCTAATGTAGGGTAATTATGACCTGATGATAACTGTGTATATGGCTCTATTAAATCCTGAGCTAGCGTAGCTCCAGAATGTAGGCTACCTTTCCTATCATTCTCATACAGATATCATAACTGTTTTGTTTATGTTGTTGTTGAAGTCCTTAATGAATAGTTATTATTTTCCCAAAAGATATCTCCGCCAAATTAAACGATCTAATTCAATCCCAGCACTCAGTGGTTTGGTGTTGTGTGATCAATCATATTCATAATTTACGGCCTCTGCAGCACGAGCAGCAGCCTCGTCATTGAAAACAACAACTCATTGAGGTAACATCATATTCGAATGCATCCTTAAAGACAGAGATAAAACAATTGTATAAAGTGTGCCAGGTTACTGATCTCCCTGCTCGAGTGTGTGATCCGCGTCGGTCGGTCGATCCATCCGCTCTTTGCGCACCAAAAAACGCCTTCTCCAAGCGCGTGACGCAACTGGAGCTGTTCCGCCGACCCTCCGTCTCCCCCCCGCTGGCTGTTCCGCTGCCATCACTCGCCTCCCCCCGATTATAGCTATTTCTCCTATCTACGAGCAGGCGACTAACATGGATATTGCAAATCAGGTATGGCATTTTGAGATCCGAATTACGTTGGTATATTATTGCGGTGTTTATTACGCACGTGTTTGTCGTTTGTCTTTCAGTGAGGGATTCGTTGTAGACTCTTAGAAATTACGCTGGAAAATTCTTATAGGGAGAGGTGCCCCTGGTGATGCTCTCCGTCGATTCACTAATAATGAATTTCTCTTGTGAATTATTATATTTTCGTTTTTAACGCATGATTTGCGCTATGATTTTTGTGTGGTATTTCAAACGGACACGATGAGATTTGCTCGATGTATAAACAGAGGGTGGTGATGCTAGCAGTTACACAGTCGCTAAATACACATTTTTGCCTTTGGTATCAAAATATGGTTTGTAATGTTACGTTTTGTTTTGTGCGAACGCGTAATATCAAATCAAAGCGACTTCTCGGGGCCCTTTATCACATGCAGATGCGCTCGTGGAGCTGCTCTTTAAAATGGCAGCTGACTTTCATCCTAACGCTGTGGCTGTGTGACTTTCAGCTCCGAGCACAGGGCCTTCTGTCTTTTTCCTACATTAATATTAGGCTGAACAGACATAGTTAGGCACACAATCAATTGGTTAGTAGTGTTTAAATTCACAGAACACCATTAAGGTTGGATACACATTTTGCAAGCTGCATTCATGTGTAAGCGAATATTATATATTGCAATGAATAATTGAATTGCGTAAAGAGGACTCCTAAATCGATGTATTGATTTTTTTCTTCTCGTGTGGTGTTTGAAGGAGGACCATCCACACGAGCAAACAATGGTGTCGTGTGAAACCGCACCTTCCTACGTCACTATAGCCTATATGCCCGAATAAAACTAGTATCACGTTTGAGCAAATATTTCCAAATATAACAAACCCGCCAGGCATGAAGTAGCAGATGCTGCCACATCTAATATATATTTGCACTTAACAAAGAGCGTTTAATTTTTTTTTTCCATACTGCTAGAGACGAGTGCCATCGTTTTTCTTAGATTTTGCTATGCAAAATGGTTTCAGAAATCTCCCTGGTTTGCTGTTCGTCGTCTCCATGGCTCGGAGATGGCGGTGATGCGCGCGCAGGGATGCTGAGGTTCAAGGTCCTCCGGTCCCTTCGCTTTACTTCGAGCGTCAAATACAGAATGATACGTGGGAGCCGCTTCAAAATATACATTGGCTCGTATAAGCATACAGGCCAGTTAGTGAAATGAGTCATCTTGGTGAAAACAGCATCTGTTATTTACACAGTATCTAGCTATCTACTGTAGATACTATCTAGTGGCGGCAGGTACTGTAAGCTACTGAAATGTTTGTGGTGCAAAATTCACACTTCACAGTAATCACTTATCATGTTAATAAAATGAGAATTAAAATAGCCAGAAAAAAAAAACACAACACCATTCAACAAGGAGTACATTAGATGGTGTAATGTTGTCTAAACCGGTGACCATCTGGTTAAATTCAGCCACCTCAGTCACCATTTACAGTACGTACAGTATGGTCAACGCTTTCAATCAGTTCAGTTGACGAGATTAAAGGAATGAAAATTCTGTCATTATTTGCTTACCCTCCACTTGTTTCAAACCTGTTTGAGTTGTCTCCTGTTGAACAAAACAAAAACAAAAAAAGCATTTTGAAGAATTTTGGAAACCCATAATCATTAATTTCCATGAATTTACTCACTGTAAAGACTCATTTTTGGTGAACTGTCCCTTCAAGCTCTGTCTTTAGCTCAGCTCTGTTGAGCATTGGAGCAACCTTCAAAGTATTGCTCAAATGATCCTCAGGAAAAGCCATCATGTTGTATTCAAACCTTTCATTGCAGCAAAGAGCCACTGACAAGTTGGCTAAATTATTGGAGAGAATAATGAATTATGAATTGCAAATGTCACCTACAACCTTTATTATAATGAGGTATTTTAATGTCAATATTTTAAGTGATTGTTCACCACAAAATGATAATTATGTCACCACTTACCCGATGCAAATGAGTAAATCTGTTTATGTGTCTGTCTACACGTCTGACGGTCTATCCATCTAATGTTTTTACACATGTTCTTCTTTTGACAGTTGGTTGCCCAGGGGCAGTTCAGGGTGCTGAAAGTCCCATTGGGCTTCATCAAAATCTTAGAATGGGTAAGTAAAATATTGTGTCTCGTTGGATCTTAAATTAATATTATCCATTAATTTTGCTTGCTTAAAATTAAAAATTGGAACTCTAGGTTTAAACACGATCATGATATCAAATTTATTCATATTTATTTTTTCAAATGAAAGTCACCTCATAATATCTACAACAACTACCAATTGTTTATCAAAAATGCATTCATTCACTATAGCAATATGATTAACAATACATGTAATACTCAAATAGAGCTGTTATAATTTGGTTTTGGGGGTCTGAAATATTGCTTCTATCCAAACACTGTTTTCGTAAGTTTGTTTTGGGAGATCAGTTCTTAACATCTGTTATGAGTAACTATTTTGGTGTTAGCTTACTTCTGATGAATTGTATATAAATAAACAATATGTTACCGGCACTGTGTGAAATGTATAGAACGCAGGAAATGTATAGAACGCCTAAAATCGAACATCAAGGTTTGAAATGATTGCTACTTTATACATTGCCTAGATATTCTATAGAATGCTGAGTTGCTGTGCAGCAATGTATGTAACTGGCCTACCCCCACCTTTTTTCCTGCCACTGATGTTGGCGGTGATGCTTGGGTTGTTGTTTGATGATGTTGATCGAAGCATGTGAGTGTTGAAGACTATTGTAAGGCAAGTGTATTGCCGATATCACAGACGATATTGGTTCTGCAATCTTAGTTCTGCTGTCATTGTTTTTCCAGTAAGAACATCATATGCTTTATTTCATCTTCCTTCCACTTTAAAATATGTATTGATCAATAAAGGCTTTTGTTGTGCTCTTCTGACACTTTGCCTAAATGATACTTGTCATTCTATATTCTATATTATTTCCTATTTGTTTTATTTTGGCTAGAATAAAAGTTTTACATTTTTTAAAAAACATTTTAAGGTCAATATTATTAGCTACTTTAAGCTATATTTTTCCGATAGTCTACAGAACAAACCATTGTTATACAATAACTTGCTTAATTCCCCTAACCTGCCTAGTTAACCTAATTAACCTAGTTAAGTCTTTAAATGTCACTTTATGCTGTATAGAAGTTGCTTGAAAAATATCTAGTAAAATATTATTTAATGTCATCATGTCAAAGATAAAATAAATCAGTTATTATAAATGAGTTATTAAAACTATTATGTTTAGAAATGTGTTGAAGAAAATCTTCTCTCCGTTAAACAGAAATTTGAAAAAATAAACAGGGGAGCTATTTATTCTGACTCATATACTGTGTGTGTGTGTATATAAATATGTATGTATATATATATATATATATATATATATATATATATATATATATATATATATATATATATATATATAAAATTTATTTATTTATTTATTTATTCCAAATTAATCATTTTAATATGTCTGTAATATATCTATATTTAAAAGCACATTGTTTTGTGTTTCTATGAAGCATTGCAGTAATGACATTTAAGCGCAACTCATATGCTAATTAATGTTAAATCATACATTCATTTATTGACTTTTAATGACAGATAGCATTTCTTTCTGGCTTTTATACTCTTTTCAGCTTTCATTTTTGTAGAAGCCTGGGAAATTAAATACCTCATATAATTTGTAACATCAAAAAAAAAATTTTTTACTCGATTTTAAAAATTTTTATCATTATTTATGAATATTATTTTAGAGGTTAACATTCTTTGCATACACCCAAATCAGTCAGGAGTTACAGTTCATGAAAAGTAGGTTTAATCAGGTTTTGTTTTCAGTACATGTTTTTCTTAAATGTATAAACAGTATAGATTATTTGCTGTTCCGCCTTCAAAACGAAATGCATTTCATCTAAAAATTATTTCTCTAAAGTGTGAAAACTCCAGGCTAAATATGTCGAGTAAAAGAATTAGTGTTAGGAAACAAAGCGAGGACATGTTTAGTGGAACAATGCGAATAAAATAGAGCACAGCAGCAGTATAATATCTCACATAAGAAAACTGGGCAAAAACCAAACCTAAATAAACCAGAGAAACATATTAGTTGTTGTAAGCTTGATGCTGATGATGAATGTATTGTATATATCCGAGAGAATCTACAAAGCACTAGATATATATTAAAGGAAGGCAGCAAAAATCTAAATGTTTGCTTACTCAGGCCACAGGATGGAGCCATTAGACAAAAAAACACCTGTGTACACAAAGGTTATAAAAGGATTATATTGGAAATCACACAGTGATTTGTACCAGCTATATTAAGCCTGTCAAAAATTATGCATAAAAAAGAGGTTTAAAAACCTGTTTCATTGATAGATAGTTTACCTGGAGAGCATCACATACAAATTGAAGGCAGAGAAGCAACTACAAGGCATGAAGTATATGGGCATCATCTCAAAGCAAACTGAGTGGGTCATCAGCACAGTCATAACTGTGGTTACAGCAAAGATAATTCAAAAATGCATGGAACACAAAGATCAATACTAAGTAATAAAACGGGAGCACTGTCCAAGGCTTAGAGAGGAAGAAGTGGTTTCAAGGATCGCAAAACACAAAAGCAAAGTCGCTTTCAAAGGAAGTGCGTTCATTTGATGGCCATATCTGCTACGCCTCCAGACAGCTATTTCAGGCATACATGGCCAAGTCCTGCCTAATTAAATGGAGGAATAGTGAAATCTCCAAAACTTAAGGACTTTTTTTTGAAAATCATCTATAAAATCTGATATAAATGTTGTCAAATATGCATATTTCAAGTTGGTTCAGCCAATATGTAATCCTAATTACAAGTCTTATGCTTTCAGTTACAGTAAGTGGCAGTGTATTTACCAAATGGTGACTGAATGTTTTATTTAGTGTATCTGATCATACTGTAGACTGCAGTTTCTCCTATTTACTATGTTACTGTGAACCATCATGCTATGCCTATAGTATTCAGCCCAAACTCATTGGAAAAAAGAAGTGCCTACATTTTTATGAAGTGTAAATGTACATTGCTCCGTGTACATTTGGTCGCACGTTTCAGATGGCAAATCGACTAGAGGGTGCTGTCTACATATTCTGAAATTGGTTAAGTTATGTTTATTTGTACTTTTCAGATAAATGTCCTTATTATATGTGTCCACAAGAAGGCAGAGCTTGTCATTCACTTGTCAGATCACTTAGCGAACCACTAACCTAAATCCTATCCTAAATCCAACCAACAGTGTTTTCGAAAGCAAATGTTAAAAGAAAAGTGCACTTGTGACCACATAGGCTGCGTTAGAAATCGCCTATTGCACAATTAGTACTGCATTTGAATTTAAATATACAACTCGGCCATTAGAAGAGTACGTTCTATACAGTATAAATATCAGAAGCATGAATGGAACTCAGACATACTACCGTACATCCACCATTTTGTCATCATCACATGACCTACCCGCATCAGTTCATGCTCATTTATGAATTCTCTCGCAGTGCATCATAAGATAGCGTCCATCCAATGTGCACTTCAGAATCTTGCCAGAAGTAGTAGGTTATCCGGCTACTTCTCACATACTGTTTTTCGAATTCTTTGACTTCGGACATACTACTCTGCTTTTTACCGTACTATACAGTATAGAAGTATGCATTTTCGCATGCAGCTATAGTTTTACCTTGATTTTACATTACTTTTAGCTGTTTTGTAAAACTGTGCTTCACCAGACTCAAAACAAGTGCAAAGTGAGTTAACTAGCAAACTGAACATATGGAGATAGATAAGTGAAGCAAATGTATTTGATTACAAACCATAGACACTCTTTTTGTGGTATTTATTTGGTATTGGGCAAAGAACTGCACAAAAATAATCCCCTTTTCATGGGTAATATGTCCCTGTAAATATCATTAATGTTAAAAGAAACAACAGTCATTGGCATGATACTGCCATGTAGTGTTTATTTAACCTAGATACTACAGTTCAGTACGTTTATATGCAGTTTCACAAAAAAGGAGGCTTAAGCATGTATTTCCAATGAGCCTGTGTTGATAGTGTAGGTTTTAGATTTAAACCAAAATTTCTGGCAAGTATTGTTCAGTGTTTCTCGACCACGTTTCTGGAGAACCACCAGTTCTGCACATTTACATGTCTCCTTAACCAAACACACTTGATTCAGATCATCAGCTCATTAGCACAGACTAAAAGACCTGTAATGGGTGTGACAGAAAAAGGAGACATCCAAAACATGCAGTGTTGGTGGTCCTCCAGGAACGTGGTTGAGAAACACTGCAGTAGTTGGATAAAGTTGAGTTCAGAATTGTTTTCAGAATACGATTGGACAATATTACTTCTTACACTTGGAATCTCATCAGCAACGGAAGTGTTTCAGAGCTCCTTAGCACTAGTAACAAGGTCTGAAAGGTACAGGTGTTGAAAAGAACCGTTCAGAATCAGAATAAAATAAATTCAATTCATAGTACATACAGTATATTCAGTGCTCAGAGATAGAAAAGGAGTGACAAAGACTTCATGGGATAAAAAATATCTGCCAAAATGTACTCCCAGTCCATCTGTCCTGCGGAGTTTAGCTCCAACTCTAATTAAACACACCTGGACAAGCTAATCAAGCTCTCCAGGCAACTGTGTTTAAGCTGGTTGCAGTAAGGCTTTGCCGGAAAATGGCCTTCGAGGAGCAGGATTGTACACCCCTGCACTGGGAAGATGCTCAAAATAGAAGTTGAACAGACCAGCACTGAGATTCAGTGACGTCAGCAAGTCAGTTACTCTATCTGTGGATACAAGCTCAGAAGGTATTGGTGCAGTAATTCTTCTGGAACAAAAGCCAGCGGCGTGTGACTTAAAGGGACAGTTCACCCAAAAATAAAAATGTATCATTCAGTCATTATTTACTCAACCTTCACTTGATTTAAACCTGCTTGAGTTTATTTATTCCGTTGAACAGAAAAGAAGATATTCAGAAGTATGTTGGAAACCTGTAACCACTGACTTTCATAGTAGGAAAAACAAATACTATGGAAGCTTTCTTCAAAATATCTTATTTTCTGTTTAACAGAGGAGG